GAACAATAAAAAAATATATTGGTAAGAACTTTGAGTAGTGTACTTTTGATAGCTTGTGACTTTAAAATTTAATTCGGTTCGCAAGTATCTAAAATCAACTCGAGAATGCAGCCTCCAGATGGAGGCGAAAATTTCCCAGCTTTCGTAAAACCCCTTTCACACCGGGTCTGCGTCCTCACGGCGATCGCACGGCGACCATAATAAATGCAAAACGCCGAGGTGATCGCAGTAGAGTCTCCTACAGCGCCGTGACAACGTGGCGAGATCTCCACTGAACGCAGTAGGGTCGCGTAGGGACTCCTAGAACGCCAGGGGACGGCGATCACTTTGGGCATGCACAAAGTACGCGCCGTGTGATCGCAGTCTGATAAGAACGCAGTAGTAACGTAGTATGATCGCCGTAGCAGCGCGGTGAGATCTCCAACAACGTAGTGGGAGCTCCGTACGAACGCCGTGAAGACGCACATGATCGCAGCATGAACGCAATGATAGTAGACTGCGGTTCCACGGAGATGTTGCGGAGTCCTTGGAGATGTCACTGCGTTTCTATCGCGCTTTTACGGCGCTTGTAATGAGATTAATCGTCTTGTTATCTTTTTGACTGCGACCCAACGACAACACGGAGTTGTCACTGCGATCGTTGCGTTCCCTTGGCGTTTCTACAGCGTCCGTTGGCGATCACAATGCACTTTCACGGCGTTGACAGCCAGCTCACAAAACAAAAGCAATGACATCATATTTGATCAGCTATTATTCTAACGTATTTGATGCACTAGGAGCATTTAAATCATGGAAGAGAAAATTACACCAGAACTTGTTCTCTTGTTTCACTTAAAATTTGTAGCAACTTTTCAGTGTGTTTATTTTTTTTACATTCGTAATAAAATGAAAGAAAATTTAACAACACATCTGAACGAGAAAATTGAACAAAGAAGCAGTTTAATCATAAAACTAATAGTAATTTAGTTCTAAATTATTCAAATCGAAAATTTTTAATTACTCTTGGTATGATGAGAAGTCTTTTTCATCGTTTAACATGAATCTTTAAACAAAAATGTTTTCCATTCCTTCTGAATATATATCAATGGGTATAGAACGCATTGTGAACGTATTGTGAACGCAGTCGGCGCAGTGAGAACGCCGTGAACACGAGGTGAAAACTTCTAAACGCCGTGAAAACTCCGCGGAAGCGCAGTCAATCGCCGGGAGATCTCCGTGGGAAGGCAGTAGAGCGCCGTGAGATTGCCGTAGAATCGCGTCCGTCGCCGTAGGAACACCGTGACATCTTCACATTGTGAAAAATTTACAGAAATTTGTGCAATTTCCCTGCGATTCCACGGCGATTTTAAACATTCAACAACGCCGTAATGACTCCGTGTGAACGCAGCTTGGTGTGATGCAAAAATGGCGCCGGTTCTGACGTTTTCCTGGCACGTAAAATATCAAAATCGTAAAAAAGCCTGGAAAACGTCAGATATTTCGGACTAGGGAACAATGACACGGCCAGGAACACGTTAAGTTCCAAGACAGTACCGTTGTCAGAAACATTTAAAGTTAAGCACTGAAAATGGCTCGTTGTCATGAAAATACAGGTAAGGTTATGACAAAAACTGTCCGGTGTCATTACTTGAGAAGAAAGGTCGTGAGCAGTTTTTCATTTTTAAACTTAAATAATTTCAACCAATGTCTGAAATTGCAATGGGGAACAGGACTGACACCCCTTTTGGCGTTGTATGAATTTCAGCCTTTAAAACGAAGTAATAAAAGCGGAGTTTGCGTTGGCAATCACATGCCCATGTGTGAAGTCACGATCGTCAGCCTGAAAATTTAATATTTTCTTATGTACAGTTTATCAAAATGGCCCTGTTATTTTGAATTATGAAGAAAAACTTAATTTTACATGTGTTAGGTAACTGACAGCCTATTCTTGTTAGCAGGCTTTAAGAAATCGCAATTTATAAGCAAAATGTCCGTTGTCAGTACATGTTAAGTTTTTCTAGTCCGGTGTCGTTTTCTTAACATATGAGTTTATCAATAAAACAGTCTGACTAAAGCTAGTCCCTACTATTTCAATTTGTTAGAAATGAAATAGTAAGGGCTGGTTTTAGTCAGTCTGATCAATAAATACGTATATACAAAAATGATCAAACGTATATGTGCTCTTAAGAAAGAGAAAGCATATTGCAGAAAATTTTGAATCTTTTGGGGGTCGTCTTAGGAGTAGTGTATATACGCCAACGTGCTAACCATTCTGTGATGTTTTTTAGTCAATTCATTCTCATACTAGAGTGCAAACGTATAACAATTCCTGAAATATTATCAGTAAAACAAAAATAAAATGTTCGATCTACACTTACTTTAAAATACAGAAGTTTTTGATACGTATTAAATTATTTACAAACAAGTTGCTGAAACAAGAATATCAAAAATCTTGTTTTATAAAAGTCATAATTTCAAAAGTTCCTTGGTCGAAGCAATGATCTTGTCAGCAAATACAATTTATCAAGGAGTCAAATGCTGACTGACGTTTTTCATAGTAATTGTTAGGCCATATTTTACACATCGACGGATTTTTCCCGGTATTCTCGTATTTCCCGATCACGACAAGGAGCACACAGTGAGTGTAAACGGTAGACAGAGGATGCTCACTCCTAAGAGATTTTTTTGAATAGGCAAAGAAATTTATTCAAAATGAAGAGAAATATGAACCAATGACTGGAATCTTTTACTTTGAGATATAGCTCTTAAATTAACGTTTGCATAAAATCTTGGAATATTTCCCCAAAGATTAATATAAAATATAATGATAGAATAATATATTATAATATTTGAATACATATTGTTCTTCCGCCTACCGCCAAGTTAATTTTCAAAAGTTAACATGTTCGAAGGATTTCTAATATTTTTTTTTACAGATAATTGTATAAATTTTCATAAAACATTACTTTTTGGGAAAACAAAGAGAGATAACTTTAAAAATTTGGTTAAACTTTTGTTTTTCACAACAAAAATCAACGAAAAAAGAAAAATACTTTACCCACCCCCTTAAAACAAAAATTCTTTTTTTTACAGGTAATACATGTATGGACTGTTTTTTCAAAAATTCAAACCAAAGCTTTTTGTGTTTCAAGGTGGGGTGGGGTGGAGTTTATGTTTATACTTTATAGACAAAAATCGACAAAAACAATATTATCAAAGAAATGTTTATAGACACAAAACGAAAAAAAAATTATCACAGATAATTCAATTAATGCCGCTATGAGAAATCTATTAAATACTAATCAAACAAACAGGGCGGGAACACTTTGAGAGGGGTGAGAGGTCCTAGGGAGTTTGGATATAAAATTACAATGCAAAAGCTCAAAATCATCTTGAAATATCGTCCGGAAAGGATAATGTTACACACAGACAGAATGTATAAATTTACTACCTGGAACTTTGACCTTAAAATCAATAGGGGTCTTCCATAAGTTGTTATGTAAAATATCATCGCAAAAGCTCAAAGGGTTCTCGAGATATCGCACGGAAACGAAAGTGTTATAACAGACAGAATTTGCGAATTGATGACCTTGAACATTGACCTTTTGACCTCAAAATCAAAAGGGTTCTTTTTTAGTCCATAGGGAGTTGCTACGCAAAATTTCATTGCGAAAGCTCAAAGGGTTCTCGAGAAATCGTGTGGAAACGAAAGCGTTACAGACAGACAAAAAGACGGTTGGACGGACAGACCCAAACTAATATTCGCCACTTTTCAAGCGGGGGACAATATGGTGATCTTTCAATGGAGAATATCGTCAACCCCCCCCCCCCCCGCCCCCTTTTTTTAAGAGCTGGAAAAAGGGATATTTCGCTATTTAGCGCTATTTAGCGATATTTCAAGGGATAATTAACAATTTATCAATTACCATTGCACTGTTTCTTGTATAAAAATGCCATTCATATTGAAAAAAATAAGTGCAAAGTGTAGGCGGGAATCGAGAGTTAACGTGCATATTTCTTCACTTTGAAATCAGTTTTTTAAGGAAAAAGACTGAAGCCCTTATGTATGACAAAGAAAAGCTGAACATTATATGAAATACAGAAAATAGCAAACGTTTAGTTTCATATGACTAATTAGTTCACCCATTTATTGAAGACATGCTTGAAATGTATCAAAGCATATAAAAAACTAATATCGACCTCCTTCCTAGTGTATACGTACAGTCAAGTAGCGACAACGGACCGATGACAACGGACTGAATTTTCGTATCTTGGTATGACAACGGACATAAATCATAATAAATCAAAATTGTCAGTTTGAAGTTGTTTTATTTTTTTTCTGTAAAGGCTGTAACATGTCTTGATACTGACTGCATCAATTGGTATATATATAATATTCTATTTACAAAAAATATAACATCTCAGAAGGAAAATGAATGAAATCCACCTTTGATTTCACCAGGGTTTAATATCGCAAACGCAAACTCCTCTTTTATTACTTCATTTTAACGGCTGAAATTCATACAACACCAAAAGGGGTGTCAGTCCTGTTCCCCATTGCAATTTCAGACATTGGTTGAAATTATTTAACTTAAAAATTGAAAAACCGCTCACGACTTGTCTTCACAAGTAATGACACCGGACAGTTTTTGTCATAACCTCACCTGTAAATTCATGACAACGAGCCATTTTCAGTGCTTAACTTTAAATGTTTCTGACAACGGTACTGTCTTGGAACTTAACGTGTTCCTGGCCGTGAATGAGCAGTGAGGGATCGTTTCCGTGAAAGCATCTACTGGACCTTCGTTTATACGGTCTCATCCAAAACACGTCCCACAGTGGGATTCCAACCCTAAAGATCAACTCTTTACGCCGCGACTCGAGTGCAGACGGGGCTAGTATTGCTAATGCAATATTTCATGTTTTTAGAATGCTTATTTCATGAAGTTGGTTGAGAATAAAATAACAGGAAGTGACATTTAAGTTAGGCTGGGCCTCAGAAATGAAACAACAAGAAAAGCTTTAAAACAGATAGAATTTATTTTTAGGTCATATTAAGAGAACTGCGTACATCCTTTAGATCTTGCACAGCGGTGGGTATTAAATGTTGAACCACGTTATGGATCCTGACAATACCGGCCTGTCCTCCTGAGGCCACCCAAACACAACTCTGGATGTTCGGATTCATCTCAATCTGAAACAGAAAGAACCACACGAGCTTCGCATAAAAAAATCCACTACGTAAATTGTTTTGAAGGAACACCTGTTTTTTTCAACAGCTGTTTGTTATTTAAGACCCTTTAGTTTACCCTATATACGGCACGGAAAGCTAAGCTTCTGACGTCATCTGCAGCAACTGTGATCTTTGGAATTTTCTTTTTAGGCTGAAAGTAACAATACTAAATCATAAGGCTAAAAATTTTAACGATCAAAATCCTGTAATATCATTGGCACAATGTCATTTATTATATTATTAGTGTATTATCACTTAAGTTTCAAAATCAAATCAGTGGAAATAGATGGGTTGGGCATTCAAACAAATAACAAAGTATTTTCATGTATGAATAAATTAATGTTAAGGAAGAATTCTGATCAGGTTTCTTAACAAATAAAATAATGAATTAACTTTTACACCAACGCATGCTTATAATGAAGTGCCAGGGACAAAAATTTTTACGTAATTAATTTTTTTTTATTACATGCATTAAAAATGTATTTAGATATTTATATCAGGTTTCATATTTAGATAGTTTAGTAGCAGTAACTAAAACAAAAAAAACTATATTAAATGTGATAACTTTTCTATCATCAACTTTTCTAATCAATGTACAATGTAGCAATATAGTCTTATAACGTTTATGTCTTCTGGTTGATTTGATACTCAGGAGCATGCTCTATATAAGAACAAATTTTAAAAAGATGCAAGCTATTGACAAACAAGTTGTTGAAACAAGGATATCAACAGTAATGTTTAAAGTCAGTGTTTTGCAAACTCTATGGTCAATATAGAACAATAAATTATATTCACATTCAATCAATGTCTAAGTATCCTTTAACTTTTCTAATATAAATTTATAAGAGTCGCTTGTTTTAGAATACCCAGTACATTGAACTAGTACAAGGTACTGAGAGCAAGCTAAACAAATTACCCAATGCTCTCTTGCATTTTTTTTAAAGAGCACATATACAATTTTGGAAAAGTGACCTAAACCTAGCCAAAAAAGAAAAGAAAAAAGATGCATTCTCTGGAAATGGGAAACATTAGAATGAAATATCAACATTCAGTGTTTCTCAATGATCGGAAATGAAAAACACATTTTCTGACAGTTACATGTACCTTGAACTTGCCATAATACCTTAACTCAAAATAATGATATCTTCAGCTCCAAAAGTTTAAAGTTCTAAATTCCAATATTTATCCTTTGAAGAGAAATTCGCTGGACCACAGATTTCATACTTTTTAGCCATTGACTTTTAATTTACTAGAATGATCTTGAATCAAGGTAATGGCAAACCTTTAGGACAACAGTAATATTTGAGTGAAATATAACCTTCCAATGTTTTCCTTTTAAAGTTATAGATCAGATACAGATTCCACACTTTTATGACAGTTTCCTTGCATTTGTAAAGATGACCGTTCGTCAGAACACAACACATCTTTGAGTTATTAGTAACATTTGTCGCATATATCAACTTCTAATAAGCCTACATTTAAGTATTATAGACCAGAAATGAATAATACACATTTTTTGCCACTCAGCAGCCATCTTCCCAAGTCAAGAGTTTCTGATCCGCTCCGCTCCACATAAACAGGGTTTATGTGGAGAGGAGTGGATCAGAAACTCGAGACTTGGGAAGATGCTCAGCAGCCAGTGACCTTGAACTTGCAAATTTAGTGATTTTTTTCCTTAAAAATTATTTTACTGTACGTGTACTTTAAAAAGAGGGATTAATATTTTAGTGGCTTTGGCGTGGAAATCGATGAGCTAATTCATGAATACCGCAAAGAAACCATTTATCAATACCATACACGGCACAAACATATGTAGCATTAATTCATGATTACACCAACAACTCAATACCCAGTGCGCTAAATTTTGAATACAATTTTTGTACATGTACAGTATTTTTAGCAAGTAATGATTTCAGCAATTTATATGATGCTCGGAAAGATAATGGTAACAATATGTGGTAATAAGGACTCATGGCAATTGATTCTAACCTAGGACACAGAAAATGACAGTGACCTTGAAGGCTCAGTTGCTATCATTTTCTGTGTCTTCGGTCCATCTCACTTGAAATGATTCCTTGTAACAACATATCGACCTACACTAAAGTCAATAATTCCAATTCATTTCAATAGTGGGTGTTGTTATATAGTGGTTTAGTGAAATGATGGCCATTATTGAAATAATTATATCATTGGTGAATGTTATTTCAACAGCGGTTGTTACCTGGTTTTGAAATGCACTTTGAACCACTATTGAAATTATTATTTCAATGTAATGATGAAATATCTTCAGCTCCAAAAGTTTAAACTTCTAAATTTCAATATTTATCCTTTGAAGAGAAATGCACTAGAAAACAAATTTCATACTTTTTAGCTTTTTGAAATTATCATTTTTTTAATACTGAATGTTATTTTAAAAAATTGTTGCAACACTGTTGTTTATTCATAAGATTTTCCCATTTTATACATGTGTATTCATATGTAAAATTTTGAATTGCCTTTTATGGTCCAATCCTATAAACAGGGGCCATGATCTGAATAAAATTAAATCTAAACTACAAGAAAATGCTTCTGTATCACTAACTATGGCTTTGCTGTTTTACAGAGAAAGTTTTAAAAATCTGTCCTCTTGATTCATATGTAAAACTACATATTCATGGCACCTGGCATAAAAATATCTGGAATTAAGGGCTAAATGAAAAATTTTTTTTACAACTTTACTCACACCATTATGTGTCACAGAAAGTTAAGTTATTTACAAATTTAGTATACATTTAAGATGATCTGTGAATTCAGTATAATTTTGGCAGGGTCATTCTAGCACATATTAAGTAATTTCAAAGATTGACGTCTCCATATGAATGAAAAATTCTCGAGAGGGACATTAAACAATATACAATCAATCAATCAATTTCAAAGATTTCATTAATAAAGTAATTCAGTGATGAAGCCCTTCAAAGTAAAAACCCAAACCTGTAATGCATCATATTCTCTATATTCCAGGTATATCTTATTCCTTCCACTTTCATAAGAATTGAAGACTGTTGAATCTACGTTTTTCTTTTTTCCTTTCTCTGTTTTAAGATGCTCCTTTGGTTCTGAGATGTGGGCTTCATCAAAATTCTTTTCCTGGATCTCTGTCTCAAATAAAGTCTGTAAAAGTCATAAAATAGAGGCTGAATGAGTACATAAGATCTCAATCAAACATATAATAAGAAAATTTGTGGTCAAATTAGGTCTGAATAAGATGTAAATTAGAAAAAATAAGTGGTTGACTATTTTTCACTTTTCACTGTTTCCTCCATAAACTTTCTATTGTTGCCATCTTCACCTGAACACAATGAATATCCCTCAATTCAGGCTGTGATAGATTTAACAAGTTTTATTCTAATTTAATTTATCTCAATAGCCCATTTTATTTTATTGTTGGTACGAAACAGAGCTTACAATTTCCTTGTTTATTTTTGATTGATATACAAGACAAACACACACATCTTCATGACAGGGCATAAAAATAAATATTGACAAGTCAGTGTCTTTTAAAAGAAAGGACTACAATATGTGGACCATATGCACGTGTTTCTCATCGAAATTCAAGAAAATTTCTAGGTTAAGTGAATATTCATGTACATGTAGGTTTGCTCACATTTTCTACAATGAACTGCCTACTTTGAATGATAGTACTTTCATAGCAAATTTGTTAAATTTCATCTCCGATTGTCCTTATAGTTTTGTCATTTTAAAAAATTAGGCTATTTTGATACACTGTACATGTAACCCATAATGGCTGGGACTTGTCAACTGTTCTGGATTTATACGGAAGTAAGTATCATTGAAAAAATAAATCAAAGAAGAAGAATTTCAAAGAAATAATATATTTTCACTATATAATATAATCTACATATACGTGTAGTCCCACCCCAGCACTAGAAATCCTGACCCTGGGGCCATTAAATTTTGGAAGAGGTAGTCTTATTCAACATAACTATGCACTTGGTTACCATAGTTTTTTTTAATGCCAAGAGCAGAAAAGAAGAATTTCAAAGAAATTTTGCATTTTCACAATATAATCAATAGAGCCCCACCCTAACACCGGAACCCCTGATCCTGGGGCCATGAAATTCACAATTTTGATAGAGGACTCAATGCTAATTACAATCATACAAACAGCCTGACTGCTTGATGTCCAGTAGTAAAGAAGATTTTTTAGAGATTGCACTAATTTTAGTGGATTTGGCCCCATCCCAAGGGCAGCTAGGATCATGAAATTCACAATTTTTGTTTCCCTTTACCTTTAACATTTTTAACGTTATTTTGTCAGTTTGTATCTAATTGGTAATTCAGATATCCGGACGCTTCACATATCCGGACAAATTGACAAGGAACCAAAGCGTCCGGATAAATGAGGCTCCACTGTATTGCTGTTTTAGGTCAATACAATGATTAAAAAACTGTTGAGTACAATGTTTTCCTTGCCCTTTTGGTTCTGGCAGTCAATATTATACTCTACAGATAGCCAAATCATCGGCCTCAAAAGCAGCAACCGACAGATTGAGGCCTTCAACTGGAAAAAGACAACACCCAGATATTGATACATGTACAAATAGAAACTGGAAGTTGTCAAAATTTTTTTTTTTGTGTGTAATTATCAGGAATTTGCCTTACTTTTAGTTTTATAAGAATAAAAACTTTGAGTGCTGAGTGTCATGTCTCTCTGTGGTGACTGATAGTGGCACTTATCAATTTTACCTCCTATAGTCATTCCTGGTATTTAGTATTGGACTTTTACGAGAAGCGCTGACTTTTACAGTTGACGGCTTACTTGTAAACTGGACAGTGTATGGAAGCTCTTTTACTATATAAATATTTAGTTTGACGTTTAATTCAATGAAATAATGGATTTTTCAAATGCACATAAATTGTATAAGTTGTTTTTGAAGGAAATGACAACCACCCTTCCCTAAACTACTGGCCTAAGCTTCTGACACCATACCTGTGACCATTTCAAAGGCTTTCTTATTCATTATCAATTCTGTACGTCTATATATGATACAGGTTTAAATGTCTAAGTTAACAGTCAAATGTAAAAAGTCAGTGCTTCTCGTAAAAGTCTATTGGTAAGTTCATTAAATTCTGATAGAAAACTGAACTGAATGAGTAATATACTTCCAGAGTATTCAATATTTTTTGAGATGGCATTGATTCTAGTATGTATATATGAACCAGGCTATAAAAGCAAAGAAAACACAAGGGACCAAAATTATTAAATTTTTTTTACCAAAGTTCTGCGATGAAAACGCTTGACTTCTTCCCTTTTCAGATGAGGCATAACAGATCCAATAACATTTCCTGTGTTGTTAGTTGCTAGAATAATCATAAGCCAGTTGGAACACGTTAACCCCTAAAATTAAAAATATCTTACCATTAAAAGTATATTATTTACAGTTAAACCACTATATATACATCACAATGCTCATAAGTATTTATGCTGGGCAATAAATTTAAAAGAGACCTTCTGGTCAGAACTTTCACTTTCCGTTCTTCATTATCAATTTTTTTTTATATGTCCTGTCCGTCCATCTGTCTGTCCATTTGTTGGCAAAAACTTTAACCTTGCCCATAACTTTTGAGTGGATGGGGCTATGGTTTTCATATTTCACAGGTATATTCCTTGCGACAAGATCTTTATTTGGGTACCACCAAATTTGACCTCTTGACCTTGGACTTTGACCTACTTTTACATAAAATTACCACACTTTACCTTGGCCATAACTTTTGAACAGCTGAAGATAGGGCTTTTGTACTAAACATGTGTATTCACTGTGACAAGACCTTTCAGTGTATAACTATTTTTTACTTTTTGGCCTTGACCTTAGAGTTTGACCACTTTAAAAAAAATAAGCCTTTGCCATTACTTTTGAACTCTTAGAACTAGGGCTTTCATTTTTCACAGGTGTATTCCTTGGAACAACCTCTTCCTTTGGGTACCAACTCTTTTTTCCAACATGTTCTTATTAATTCTTACAATTAAAACATATAAGGTATATAGAGCTCTCCCCAACAAATACTGTCTCTTAATATGGCTAAGTCCCACACTAAACTTAACATCTAGTAGTGTGCATCCTTAGATGCATCATCCATGTAAGTTTGGTTCAGGTTTGTCTTAAAAAATATTTGCGAATGAACCTGCTATAAAAATTCTATTTTAGTTATTCATCAGGAAATTATAGGTCAGATCCAGCATCTGAAGCATTTCTGGCACACGTAGTGATGTACATCCCTAGATGCATCATCCATGCAAGTTTGGTCTATGTAAGCATTACAGTTGCTTGAGAACTGACCCGCATCAAAAACTTAGACCTGGTTACTTTTCTGGAAAATGTAGCTCAGATCCAGCATCCAAAGCAATTCTAGCAGTGTGCTTCAAAAATAGTATTTTTTGTGCAAATTTACCAAACTAATCTGTACATTTATGCTTTATATTTTAAAGCTGTAATTTTTTTTGTGTTTTAAAGAATTTAAAAACAAATACATTAAATTTAAGGACAGATGATACAAACAAAAAATGGATGCCTGGATTTGTATATATTTTTTGGCCTAATTCCATTGCAAATGATGCAAATAATAAATTTCCAGAACATAAAGAAATTGTAAACCTTCTGTGATGTTCAAAAGTCAACCCTTCTGAAACCATCCTTATTAATCTATACATACATTTTTCACTTTAAATTCCATTTTTTGTGCAAATGTAAATAAAAAATTAAAAACTACGCGGAGAAAGTTATTCATTTTATTCATTTAAACATGACCCAAGTTGTTATTTTCAAATTCTTTGACAAAAGTTTGTTTGTATCATCTGTCCTTAATAGTGTTGTGTTTATTTCACTAGAATGCATGTAACACATTAAGGATTGTCATTTTACCCTGCAACTCTTACCACTGTTCTGAGATGCAACTAATGACCTTATAACATGTAATTCTTTTAACTTGACTCATGATTCATAAAACCACTGAGTGTGTAGCAATACTTACCCAAATACAGTCTGATAGAACCACTACTGGATCTGATAGTGGATTGTCATCATTAACAGTGTGGTCATAGGACTCAGATCTAACATACGTCTCCAGGTTTCTAAAAATTAAAAAAAAAGCTTGCGGGTCAAAAAGCTCATCTGAGTATTAAACCTTTTTTTGTTGCTACCAAGCTTAAGTCTATGACTTGAAAAGTTTAAAATTAAGAATAAAAGGGTGATGGCAAGTCTAAAAACCTGGATTTCAATTTTTTTTTTTTTTTTTTTTTTTTTTTTTTTTTTTTTTTTTTTTTTTTTTTTTTTTTTTTTTGGATTTCAACTTAGTTTGTTGAAATAATATATATTTCTGTGAAAAATGTTAACCCCCTTTCACATAACAGTGTATAAATTCCTCAATGCAAAACACTAAGCCAGCCTATATACAATATGTAGTGCTATGTACTCTTAGATATAAGTTTTATAATTCATAATATTAATTCATTTCACCCCCCCCCCAAATACATATTTATACTTACGAATAACAATCATCCATTCCTTGAAGAACACAAAAATTAAATGGCAGCCAGTAAACGGATAAAGCCATCTGAGCTGGAGTCTTGAATAATGGGAAATGCCTGTTGTTGAGGTCCCATATAACAAATGTCCGATCACGACTGGAAGAGGCAAATTTATCTGTGACGTGGGGCGACCATTTCAGTGACATGACACAATCAGTATGGGCGGCTGTACTATGAAATGGGAGAAGTTTAATAGTGGAAGTCACTGCCACCCTCAGGAGACTAGACTGGGATTTCAGATCCCAAACTCTGATTGAGCCTGCAAAGAATCACAAAGTTTTAGTTGTTCTTAGATATCATTTTTTTAATTTAAATTTACAATGACATTGCATAGACACATTAACAAACAAGATGACTACAAACTGAAAGAAATGGATTTTTTTTTGAAAACTCAATGAGTTCTTCAAACATCCATGCATTCATGTTTACTGGAAGAAATTGAAATATTGGAAAATGAATATATTAAATAAATCACACTATATCATTGTTAATTATTCAGGGATGTTATGTGCAAACTTTGATTGGAATAGACCCATATGACCTTAGAACCCCCCTTTTTTTTAACTCTTGGAGGATGTTAATTTGTAAATGAAAGGTGCTCATAAATTCAATGAAAATAAAACCCATGAAATCTAATGACTTCACAGTAAGTGATAAATATTTGATCACAGAATCTCATGTCACAAGCATTTGAGCCTTGGCTTGAAATAAATTCAGCTACAATTAAAAAGTAGACGATCACTTGAAAGACAAATCAGACAGGAAGACACCTATCATGTGTTGAGGAAAATCAAATACTTACCATCGCCATAGCCAGCTGCCAAGAACTGACAAGACTTTGGCTGCCAGTCAATACACAGGCATGGGGAGGCCTTTTCTGTGACAGAAAGATCTAACATAAAGTGATTGTCAATTCGAACATGACATACAAAAACTGATAGAAAAAAGCGTTTTATAAAATACTGTTAAAATAAGTATGATGAAATCTTTTTTGGTAAAACAAACAAACTGTTAAAGATTTACCATGTTTAGATACAGGATAAGGAAGAAGAGTAAATACTGGCTCTGGTTTGAAGACGGCCAGCTCATTGCCGTGATTTTCTAAATTTAAACTGGCTGGTTGAGGTATACTGTAGAGAAAACAAAGACGCTATGCAAATGTTACAAATAAATTATAATGATACATTTATCTTAAAACATGGTGAGGAATCCAAATGAAAAAATCATAGGGATCCAGTCATGAAATTTAATTAAAACCTAATTAAGGGATCATTTTGAGATACATGTACCATATAAGCGAAATTTTTTTAGCGATTTGCCCTTAAAAAATTATTTTCTTTTTAGCAAGATGTTATTTTAGCGATTTTAAAAAGCCCACTAAAGAAGCTATTACAAATAAAGTGCAATTAATTTTTAGCGATATTCAATTTTAGCGATCTTGGCACCCTCACTAATAATGCCAAAATTAAATCCTTGCTAAAAATTCTGCCTAAACTGTACATGTATATCAGCTATTTTTAATTACTGTATTGTGATGGACAAGCAGATTGAAAAAAAAATACACATTAAAAAATTTAAAATTCCCTTCTTGTTATACATATTGTGGTGTGATAGATCATGCGATAGATGTGGTGATCAGAAAAGCTCACTTGAGCTTCAAATCAGGTGAGCTAAAAAGATATTTTAAAAACTTTGACTTTTTAACTGCCCTGTATAATTACACCCAAAACATAATTGTCTTTTTAGGGTATGAAAATCCCCTCCCCCCCCCACCCCCAGTTAATTGAAATAGAAAGAATTACTACCAGGTAAATGATTTTTAGAAATGTAATCTAATAGGCAATAAAGATAATAATTGTTTATAAAACAAATGTAATCTGGTTACACTTCTGGTCAGATAGTACCTGAAGCAAGTGTGGCTTGTGTAACCCTAGATGCACTAATTGTCCACTGAAGCTTGGTCCAGGCAGGGTTTATATGGTAGTTACTTGGAAATGGACCTGCTCCAAAATATGTCACCTGGTCACATCCAGCATCCAAAATAATGTAGTGTCTATCCCAAGATGCATCATACATGAAAGTTTAGATCCAGCATCCCGAGCAAGTGTTGTGGCTTCCTACTTTTGATGCATGCAAGTTTGTTCCAGGAAGAACTTTTTATTTCTTGGGAATGGACTTACTCCAAAACTTTAATCTGATCACTCATCTGGAAAATGTATGTCAAATCCTGCATTGGAAGCAAGTCTGGTACTCCCCTTCCTAAATGCATTATCTATGCAGGTTTGGTTCAGGCAGATTTATAGTAATTTGCGAATGGGCCTGCATCAAAAATTTTATCCAGGTCATTCATCAGGGGAATGTAGCTCAGATCATCTGAAACAAATCTGGTAGTGTCCATCCCTCGATGAACCATCCATGCAAGTTTACCGTAAGTCCAGGAAAGGCTAATAGATTTTTTGGAATTGATCTTGTCAATTATCTTGAAAATGTTGATCAGATTCAGCATCAAAGCAAATCTGGTAGTGTCCATCCCTAGATGCATTATCTATGCAAGTTTGGTCCAGGTAGGGCTTAGAGTTTTTGGATATATGAACTTTATCAGGGACACGGAAGCTAATACGCCTACACCAATAGCATAAGCTGAGAATTTGATTTGATAGATATATGCTTAACATGATGACATTTACCAAACAGTGTTAATTAAATATTTTTTATTAAATGTTATGCCAGACATGGCACAAATGCCTTTCAATTTATTATTCATTACCGCAATTTACAGCAAAATTAAGTCTTACATTAAATGAACATTCTGGTAAATTTTTTAAAGTGCATCTGGAAATGAAGTTTGGTCTTAATTAAGGACCAATATAGTTTATTTTATCTGCTCCAAAAACCTTAATAAAATACACCATACAGAAAAACATCTTATAGCCAGCATGCTTATAATGAATTGACACTAAAAGTGATTTTCATTTGCTGTGGGTTTTAAACATGTATTGTGAAGCTAACAGAAATAATCAATTATGTTTATAATGAAGCAAATTCGCTCTTCCCCGGCACTTCGTTATATGCTTGTTTCACTGCATGACACATTTCTGGCAGTGAGCATCCATGCAATTTTGGTTAAAGGTAAGGGCTTGTAGTTTGTTAAAAGACTTTCACCTGGTCATTCATCTGGCCTAGAGACCATAAACTGAAAACAGACTTAGGCGAAAATTTTGATTTTCAATATCTTAAGTATCTGTGGGTAGGCAAAATTTTGTTGGTACATGGGGACATAATTTGGTCAGAATCTCATTTGTTCAGATGATTTAATAAACAAACGTAAAATCCAAGTGTGACGTCATTCTTTTGTTTGAGCGCTCCATTATTTTTCGGGAATGGAAAGTTGCAAATTTCTTTGAAAACGGAATTTCTTTTGTTCTTATTCTCCTTAACGTGCCTTTACTGAGGAAAGAACTTAGAAAATTTTTTGATAAGAGTTTTAGAAAATTTAAGAGTTGATTTACACATTATGAAATTTTTTTTGCCCATTGTAAGAATCGAACCTGGTACCCTCTGCTTTGTAGTCAGGTACTTATTTCACTGAGCTATTGAAGCTGTTGATAAACACTGGATTAGAATAACTGTAGTATATTTTCCCCTAACTTCCTATAGTATATAAAAAATAAATACTACTACTATATAATGTCTATTTACAGTGTATCATATAGATATTCTGTATTTTATATTAATGAACAATAAATAAAAGCCTCAAAAAGGCGGATTTTATGTGGGTTAATATACTTGTAGCATTCCATTCCTTAAAAGTAATGGGCCTCAGCCCCTTCGGGACCTCGGCTCCATTACTTTCAAGGAAAGGAGCGCTACTCGTACATTAACCCTTACCTACTGTCTAACCACATACTTGTTCATGGGTAAGTAAACCTGTGGATAAGGGATGAGCATTGATGATTCCACAATACGCTTTAACACTGCCAAAGTTAACACTTACCAAATTTATTTATTTTCATTTTTTCTATGTATTGGAACCTCATATATTCCCCCAGCAAATTATCTGGTTTTATGCAGCATTAAGGTTCATAAACCCTCTGCTGAATCATATGAAAGGTTGCTTTTAGCTTAATGATTTTCCAAAAGAAATATATTTTATGAATAAAATAGAAACAATTATAGCATAGCTTGCGGGTCAAAATTGGACAAAAAAAGACATGAAAATCTGTAAAGGAATAATAGTCGTTTATGTCATTAAGAGTTATCTCTCTTATCAGAGTATCGATGAACGTTAAGATTAATGAAACAGACCTTTCAAAACTGCTGTATATGAATTGAATTTTATTCCCAAAGGAGTTCATTGATTTGAAGCATCCAGATAATTAGTGCCCAGGTAAACGAAGCCTCACTGTACTCCAAATTTAACACTCTACATTTACAAAATTGCATTCAACACCAATGTTTCCTCGCAGTTCATTTTTGATTGCTTAGAAATTTAGAGTCTGACATTTATAGCAAAGTTGAATATTTTAGAAACTACAAGACATTTCAAAGAGGCATAATGATATGAAAAATTATTAATTGTGAGAATTAACAAATGGTTTAACACGAAATGTGAAAAAGAAAAAAACACCACTTGATGATATACCGGTATTTAGCATGCCCAATTAAGTGGTGAGAGAGAGGGAAATATTACCTGTATATGTGAACATTTCCATCAGAGAAGGCTCCTGCTAACAGCCCAAGTCTTGGTAAGTGCAGGGATGGCTACAAACAAAAAAACTTTAATATTCATTTTAGTGAATAATTGAAAAATGCCATCAGATTGTCAATACAACCTCATTACGACTAATTCTGCAGAGTCCTATTAAAAAGAGTAGACAGGCATATCATCTGGTCAAACAAGATGTGAATGTGATGTGATATCGCTCTTTGAATCGTTACTGCAAGTTATATAAATAAATTTATTATAAACCCCCGCCCTCCTTACAAATAGCAAAATATAGTAAAAAAAAAAAAAAAACATTTGAATTCAATTTTATACTGTAGAGGTACTTTTTTCCATGGGGTCATAATTCCGCAAAATCTCTATTTCTGTTCAATCGGCTGATAGAAAATTTTGGGGATATCTTAAGACTCTCTTTATATCCTTTTATGTGTATTTAGTTCAATGGGACAAATTTCAGCAGAAAATTTGTGACTGGGTTACATAGCTTAGATTAATACCACACAGAAAAAAAGTACTTCTACAGTAATATTTTTCCATTAAAAAAGCATACTGTATACAGGGAAATTTTTGCCCCCGTTTTCTTTTCGCTCCTTTTGCTCTTATCATAAGTGGGCAAATTTAAAACGGGGCGAATTTAAAGAACACAGCATAATTTCTTAATCAGAACTAAAACTGGGCGAATTTAATATGGGGCAAAATTGTTCACAAGTAGAAAAGGGCGAATATAACACAGGGTGAACAATAATACAGTGAAAATGGGAGACTGAGATCAAAATTGAGCTTGTCTAACTTTTATGGCCCCCAGGCCAGTGGTGGGGGCCATAAAAGTTAGATGAGCTCACTTTTGATCTCAGTCTCACTTTTACCAAAGTAATGTAGAGTGGATAAGTGAGACTAAGATCAAAAGTGAGCTCGTCTAAGTTTTAAGGCCCCCAGGCCAGGTCTCTACATCCCATGCGATTTGCTCCTGAGACATAGGGAGCACCTCCTTGCTTTGCTGCTTTAGAGGAGATGCTCTACCACTGCTTCACGTTGGTGACCATTATTTATAGATTTTAAATTATACTAGTAATTCTTTGAAAAGAATCATGTCTTTTAAATAAGACCAAAGCAAGAAGTATTTTTTATTCAGTTTAGAAATTATTTTACTGAAATTTCTTTTTTTTAATCCATTAATTTATACTATTGAAAAGAGAAAAATGAATAAAATGAAAGAGCTAGGTTCAATTCATTCTAAAATGGCCCTTCCCATAAACTGACCAGAATTTAATTATAAATGTCCTATTTCAAATATCTATATAAGGAAATGACTTTTTACTTTTATTGCCCACAAAAAAAATTAACTCTGAGAATCTAGGTATTAAACAAGAGGCCCAAGGGCCTTGAATCGCTCTTCTGATAAATTGTACAATCTATCACTTCTATTTGAAGCCTCTTACTCTAAGTATCCTAAGATGCATGAACTGACAAAGTTTGGTGATTCTTTGCCTGTTAGGACTAAAGATATTTCAGTATAGCTATAAAATACCATAAGTAGCACATGGTGACCTACTTTTTGATTTGAAACTTTCTGAGGACTCAAGATGCATTAATTGACAAAGAGTGATGGTTCTATTGAATAAGTACCTCACATATTAAAGTAGGTCACTGTGACCTTCTCATGGTTGACATTCCCTGAGGACCAAAGATGCATCAACTATCAGAGTTTGATGATTCTAAGCCAATTAGTACCAGAGATATTTAAATAAAGCCATAAAATGTCAAAAATAGGTCACCGTGACTTACTTTTTGGTCAACATTTTCCGAGGACCCAAATGCATCAACTGACAATGTTTGATGATTCTAAGCCAATAAGTATCTAATTAAAAGTAGGTCATTGTGACCTACTTTTTGGTCGACATTCTCTGAAAACCCAAGATGCCTCAACTGACAATGTTTGATAATTCTAAGCCAAAAAGTACCTAAGATATAAAATGTCAAAACTAGGTCACAGTGACCTACCCATGGTCGACATTCTTCGAAAAACCAAGTTGCATCAAATGACAAAGTTTTGATAGTTCTAAGCCAAAAATACCTAAAAATACTTAAATATAGCTATAAAATGTCAAAAGTAGGTCACCATGACCTACTTTTTGGTCAACATTTTCCGAGGACCCAAGATGCATCAACTGACAATGTTTGATGATTCTAAGCCAATGAGTACCTGAGATACGCAAAAGTAGGTCATTGTGACCTATTTTTTGGTCGACATTCTCCGAAAACCCAAGATGCCTCAACTGACAATGTTTGACAATTCTAGGCCAATAAGTACCCGGGATACTTAAATATAGCCATAAAATTCAAAACTAGGTCACAGTGACCTACTTTTTGGTCAACAGGTTTCGAAAACCCTAGTTGCATCAACTGACAAAGTTTGTTGATTCTAAGCCAAAAAGTACCTAAGATACTGATACTGAAACATAGCCATAAAATGTCAAAACTAGGTCACAGTGACCAACTTTTTGGTCTACATTCTCCGAAAACCTAAGTTGCATCAACTGACAAAGTTTGATGATTCTAAGCCAAAAAGTACCTAAAATATTGAAATATAGCCATAAAATGTCAAAAGTAGGTCACTGTGACCTACTTTGTGGTCGACATTCTCCGAAAACCCAAGTTGTATCAACTGACAAAGTTTGATGATTATAAGCCAAAAGGTACCTAAGATACTGAAATATAGCCATAAAATGTCAAAAGTAGGTCACCGTGACCTACTTTTTGGTCGACAGTTTCTGAAGACCCAAGATGCATCAACTGACAAAGTTTGATGATCATAGGTCTGAAAGTATTCAAAATATGCCTTTTAAACAATTTGAAAACAAATGCCTGCAAAATTCAAAAAGTAGGTCACAGTGACCTACTTTTTCATAAATATGTTTTAAGGCCCCAAGATGCATCAACTTACAAGGTTTGAAGATTCTAAACCTCTCAGTATCAGAAATTAAGGCCTTAAATGTTTTAGAAAAAATAAGCCATAAATTCAAAAAGTAGGTCAAGGTGACGCATTTTTAAGTTGACATTGTTTGAGGACACAAGATGCATCAACTGACAAAGTTTGATGATCATAGGCCTTAAAGTGTCCAAAATATGCCTCCAAATCAATTTGAAAACAAAAGCCCGTAAAATTTAAAAAGTAGGTCACCGTGACCTACTTTTGTATTAACATGATGTCAAGTCCTGAGATGCATCAACTTACAAGATTTGATGATCCTAGTCTTTATAGTAAGCAAAATATCAACGTTTTTAATAAGTGTAAATTTTGGTCAACTTTGAAGTGACCTTGAGACCACGCCCTTTGCCCCAGGGTCATGCCTTGAATAATTTTTAATCTTCAACATATCCTAAATCTTGTATGTAAGTTTGGTGAAAATCTGCCTGGTGGTTCTGGAGAAGAAGATTTTTGAGCAACCAGTACTTTTGGTTCTATTTTCCTGATTATCTCCCCTTGTTTTAGGGTTCCAACCCTAGTTTTAGTGTAAATGGTAGCCCTTGGGCCAAGGATACCCTGTAACAAATTTGACAATGATTGGCCAAGGGGTTCTTGAGTTATGGCCCATATTCTAAAAAGTTAACGCACACCGCACACCTCACAAATGGCCATAGCATTAGCTCTTTGAGCCTATTGCTCAGAAGAGCTAAAAAACCAGGTTCTATGATGGAATTACCAGTAAGTACCCTAACTCTGGATCCTACCTATATTTTACAGACATTAAATTCCAAAATAAGTGGGTGGATGATGTTATCATTGAATCAGGCTCTGAAGTATCACCAGATTTAAGAAATAAAATCTGCGTTTTGATGAATGTTGCAGATTAACCTCTGAGGTCGAGAAATGTTGTTTGAAAGCTAATTATGAAAGCCAAGGATTTTATATTTCAAACAACGTTTTGAGACCAAGAAGGTAATTCTGCATCATTCAGGACAACAAGGACTTTATTTCTATTCTACTAAGCAGTTCTAAAATATGACTGACTTAAAGGTAAGTGTTATGTTATATAAAAAAACAAAGGGAATAGAATGAATAAGCTAGGGTAAAAAAATAGTTATGGAGTAATCAACAACATATGTTGTTGTTGTTTTTTTTTTTTTTGGTCCATAGGACTCTAGCACTATCCTTGAACTTACTCAGACAGAGTTAACACAATTATAAACCAATCAGACAAAACATCTCTACTAGTCTTCCAATAACATTTATTCTAAGAATATGAAGTAATTTTGTCTAATTATTTTATTATTCTACATGGCAATTAGCTACAAAGTTACGTAACTATACATTAACTTATAATACATTAAATTTTTTAGTCAACTTTTACGTCAATTTCATTTTTTTTATGTCCTTTTTTATGTGTAATTCGTATTTGTCTTTTTGGTAAACAGATAACAAAAAAACATTGACAGCTAATAATTGTGGCTACTAAGGGTACATGTGTACTACTAGCTGCAGAACTGTAGCTCTCTGCTTGAGAAAATTCGGACAGATAAAGCAGAGACCTACAGATCCAAGTGTTGTAAAAACCTTCGATTTACGCCCACGATTTTTTGTCGCTCACTTTGGTTTTTTTTCGTTTATTTTATACTTTCCCCAGCTTTGAAAATAATTTCAAATGGTATTTAATAATTAATCTTATTATCCTTCAGAATTATACAGTCAATCTGATTGGTTTAGGGCAGGTCACATGCAGGGAGACAACTTGTGATGTCTCCCTCATGCACAGGGAGACAACTGTTATCTCCCTTCAGACGACAATGAAAAAGCGTAAGCGAGCATGCAGGGTTTCCACTAATGTTGTCGCCCTTTGAGTGAAACTACAGTGGTTTAAGCGAGATAACTCCTATTTAAAAGAACAATTGCTAAATATGCAGGATCGGTAAACAATAAATTCTAACGATGACGTCAAAGTTGTCTGACATATTTTGAAAGTATGGGATCGGAGCAGAGTAGAAGAAAACAAGAGGTTTGATTACTATTTTCAACTCTATCTAATTGATAATTGTATATTCTTCAGGATAATAAAACTATTATGGACTGTTTAGAAGGGAGACAATACCAATTTTCAGGTCTGAGTAGGTTTGTCACCCTCGAACGCAAGCCCTTCTAAACAGTCCATAATTGTATAATATATTCAACTCCAATTCCTGATCATTTACTTACCTCTCAACGCTAACAAATGCCATTGGCTGCTTGTGGTTACGGACATCGAAATGGAACTCTTTTAAACCAACATTACAAAACTATATATAGGGACTGTTTCGGACCGTTAAAAGGTAAACAAAGTATCAAATATAAGAGTTAAATATATGAATTATTATAGGATACCATTCTAAAAGCCGGAAAAAGCTTAAACTACACAAAATAAATACCTAACGTAGCAACAAAAAATCGTCGGCGTAAATCGAAGGTTTTTACAACGCTTGGATCTGTAGCTCTCTGCTTTATCTGTCCGAATTTTCTCAAGCAGAGAGCTACAGTTCTGCAGCTAGTGTACTACATGTACATATGTTCATATAGCTGAAACTACACATAGAAAAATATAGTATTCTGTTAGTATCTTTAATAATTTCACCTTCTCTTCATTGTTTTCCCAGGCATTGCTTGGACACCAACATAACTGGTAAATAACACCAAAGCTGTGGGATAAACAGAACTCCAGGACAGGAACGCTACTACTCATTGAATTACTGGAAAAAATATAATAAATCAAATGAAAAAAAGTTAGCAAGCTCACATACCCCACGCTCCCCCAAAAGTTGAAGTGCTGAAATTCCCGGAAAAAATAAAGGAATCTGAATTTCCTGGTAATATGCACATCTACACAATGTGTCCTAAATATCTGCAAAGTCTGAAGAAATTGTGTGCAGCTGTTTATGAGGAGTTGTGCTGACAAACAGTTCATCGCTATATTCAAAATATGACCAAAAATCTAAGTGGAAAAGTGCGGAAATTCCCAGAAATATGAAGGAATCGGAATTTCCTCGTAATATGCACATCTACACAATGTGTCCTAAATATCTGCAAAGTTTGACAAAATTGCGTGCAGCGGTTTATGAGGAGTTGCGCTGACAAACAGTTCATCTCTATATTCAAGATGTAGCCAAAAATGTAAGTGGAAAAATGTGGAAATTCAAGGAAATATAAAGGAATCGGAATTTCCTGGTAATATGCACATCTACACAATGTGTCCTAAATATCTGCAAAGTTTGATAAAATTGTGTGCAGCGGTTTATGAGGAGTTGCTCTGACAAACTGTTCATCTCTTTATTCAAGATATGGCCAAAAATCTAAGTGTAAAAGTACAGAAATTCTGAAAAAAATAAAGGAATCAGAATTTCCCAGCAATATGCACATCTACACATTGTGTCCTAAATATCTGCAAAGTTTGGTGGAATTGTGTGCGGCGATCTATGAGGAGTTGCAATGACAAAAAAACAGGACTGACGGACTGACTGACGGGTCAAAAACATTATACCTCACGCAACTTGTTGCGTAGGCTTGTTGCGTGGGGTATAATTATGTACATTGTATTATAATGCATCTTTTGATAAGAAAGATTATGCTCAATAATTTAAGTTTGGTTGTAAGTTTAACACATAATTTGACTAGATAAAAAATGAGTTAATTTTATGTGATGCCTGCACATACATTTAACTAAACCAAAAATGTACTTATGAAAGACTAAGTCTGGAATAGATAAATTAAAAATGTACTTATTAAAGTCTAATTCTGGAATGCATAATCCTAAAATGTCTTATTCCAGTCCAAATCTGATATAAACCTTATATGTTCTCACTTTGGATACAGAGAATTCAGTTCTCCAATATTCCACAATTGTATTGCACCTTTTCCCAAGTAAAGTGACTTTGTTTCATGGCATTCATCCATTTCTCTGTGACAGCTTACAGCCAAAAACTGGTTACATTGGACATTGTGTGGTACAGGACACCAGGCAAGGCCCCAAACAGGACCACCAGCAAAAAGGTTGTAGGTGCCTTGAAATATTTTTTGAAAAAATAACTCAGTATATAAATTAGAAATATGTCCAAAGGACCTGAGTGCCCCACCCAAGGTTCATCAGTAATATAACATGATAATTTGTAAGAGTGTACAAGGTCTGTTGAAAGTATTCAAAGAAAAGCAAAGAGATTTAGGAGAAAATTAAATAGCATATATTACATATCTTTGGCTTAAAGTTCAAGACAAAGCATCACCGATACAAAATAATTCCTAAATCTTCACTCTTAATTTCAGCATTTTTTGCAATAGACTGGGACTGAATTTTTTTATATGTCAAAACATATAGGTACAAGTAATCAGAGACTACAGAGCTCACCTCAACAAATGTTGTCTTTACATTAGTAAGAAAATGTCCTACATTGAACTGTTAACCTTGTAGAGCAACATTTATGCAATTTTTAGCTGATAGGGCTAGCAGTTACTTACAATAGACTTATACAAAACTCAAACTATTCACTCATCCAGAAAATGTAATTCAAATATAGGTCTGATCCAGTATCTGAAGCAAGTCTGATTAGTATGTATACTCCGATGTATCTTCCATGAAAATTTCTCTCATAACTGTTGATTTGAATATTAGTTATTTTGTGTTAATTGTCCTGAATATTTAGTTTTTAACCAAATGACATTTAAACATGCAGGAAAAGGTGAGAAAAAATAATTTAAAAAATAAGTAATTTGATGTCATGGCAAAATGAATATCACACATTTTATTAGAGCCAATTTATAAGCCTAAAGGTGCGGTCACACAATGCAATTTTCCATCCAATTTTTCCAATTGATTTGCTTTTGACTAAAATTGTACAGTGTGACCATCCAAGTCGAAAGCAAAATCTGAAAGTCATCTAGAAATCAGATCGGCCTCAGATTTTCAATCAACTTTCTCAAGAAAATCATGACGTCACAATGACATTTCCTGAAATTAAAAAAATGCAGAATAGGTCTATAAAATAATAGTTTTTAACAGTTTTTATACACCTGTGAAATGAAACAAGAGGCCCATGGCCTTATAGGTCACCTGAGCATCATGCAACAACTTTCCAATGACTGAATTTGGTTCATGTTTTGAACATGAAGCAATGGCATTCACAATTTTGAAAGAGGCACCAAACTAATCATATCAATGCACTTAGCAATTGCTTAGTTAGGTTACTTAATATCCAGAGGCACCCTAGGGGGACAAAAAATACATTTCAACTTATCAGTAATATTCAGCAATAATCAGTAGTGCCCCTACCAAACATGAACCCCAGACCCTAGGTTAACACATTTCACAATTTTGGAAAAGGCATCCTTGCTCATCAAAAATCTTTGATTAATACCAAGGAGCAGATTTCAAAACAATTAATTCATTTTCAGTATATACGTTGAGCCCCCCCCCCCCTCCTCTATGGTACCCCTGACCCAGGGGCCTTGAAATTCAAAATTCTGGAAAAAGGGCCCTTGCTCATCTTAGCAATATAGGTAGTTCATCTGCTTAGTACCTAGGAGCAAAGAAAAAGATTTTCAAAGATTTAATGCATTTTTCACTATATAATCAATAGAGCTCCACCAAAAGACTGGAACCCACGACCATGGGGCCATAAAATTCATAATTTTGGAAGAGGCATTCTTGCTCATCATAACTATGAGCTTAGTTAGTCTATTTCTTACCCAGGAGCAGAGAAGAAGATTTTCAAAGATTTAATGTATTTTCACTATATAATCAATAGAGCCCTGCCCTAACACCAGAACCCCTGACCCTGGGGCCATAAAATTCACAGTTTTAGAAGAGCTATTCTTGCTCATCATAACTAATAACTATGTGCTTAGTTAGTTTGTTTAATACCCAGGAGCAGAGATGAAGATTTTCAAAGAATTTCTGCATTTTCAATATATAATCAAGAGCCCTACCCTTACACCAGAACCCCTGACCCAGGGACCACATTGACAACATTGGAAGAGGCATTCTTGATCATGATAACTATTTATTAAGTTAGTTTAATTAATATCCAGGAGCAGAGATATATTCCAATAAGACTACAACTGTAGGAGTAACTTTTAATAAAATTTTACAGTATTTTCAATTTTAGTTATGAAAGCAACATCATTCATCAAAATAAAAAATATTTTAAAAAACGCAATAAAAACAATTATATATCTCTGATAGTGACGTCTACTTGCATGCAACATTATATTAAAATCAGACTAAAACTGTATTTAGAGTAGCACTCCGAGAGTATTTTACAGAAATTACTATTTTTATTAACCATGGCAACAATGTTCATCAAAATCAAAAACCGATTCACAGAATTATGTATCTAAGTGTAATCTACTTGCATGCCTGCCACTTTATATATATAATCAGACCAAAACTGTAGGAGGAGTAGCATTTTAAAAGTATTTCACAGAAATTTCTATTTTTTGTAACCTTAGAAACACCGTTCATTGAAATCAGAAACGGATATAAGAATTATGTATCTTAGTGTAATCTACTTGTGTGCCAAGTTATATTGAAATCAGACCAAAACTGTAGGAGGAGTTGCATTTTAAAAAATGTTTACAGACAGACATACAGACGAATGGATGCTGGACGCATTACTATTGCATAAGCTCTTCTGGTTTCTGACCAGTAGAGCTAAAAATAATTACTAACAAGTACCTGTTCATTTCTTTCTAAAATCGTTTGTAAATTGAATGAAAAATTGGATTGTGTGACCCCTCACCAATCGACTTCATCCGACTTACCTGAGCAATTTGAATGAAAATGGAATGAAAAATCACATCGAGTGACCACACTTTAAAAGTGTGAGACAAGTTTTGGGAATTTTAACAAAAATGATTTTCCTGTATAAGAGGGCCACAACACTCAACTGAGTAACTATGGCCCTCTTTGTTCATCACTATTAAATTCTTCTACCCATATCCTCAGTGTGTTAAACTCTGTTTATCCATTGTAGCTTCACTCTACCCAAGGGGGTCATGACAAACTACATTATCTGAGGATGCTTCCTTGTAAATATGACTTAATATAGCTTTGTTGTTTTGGGGAAGATGAGGTGAGCTCAGGTAAACTCAGGTGAGTTCAGGTGAGCTCAGGTGAGCTAATAATGACGTTTCTCTAGTCTCTACTCACCGGCTATGAACTCAGCCTTAAATCTCTTCAGTTGTTTTAAGAGAGGTGTTGTGACTTTTTGTTCTGGTGAGATGACATGAAATCTAACACTCTCCTTTGTTACTGGCAAGAAGTCCTCCATCTCCCTGATGAACAAGAGGTATACATATCAAATCACATCAGTCACAGCATACCATCAATTCCAGTAACAGTATGTCTCTTTGATTAATCGAGCGTGGTGAAGTTTCACATGATGATTATATTACTCATCGATTGGATGTTTGATTTCACTGAAATCAAAACTACTCTGCATATGAAATACAGAACCCAGCAATACCACTTACAATACTGACCAATCGTATTGAATGACTGCTCACGAGAATGCAGTAAACAAAAATCACACTTGGACAGGTAAAGCAAGTCTTATGGTAATCCTAATAATGATGATATTGATATTATATATAGTAAAATAGGAACATGCAGGATTTCCCCTTACGTATTACATGTTTAAATTTTCTCATATGCATTTACTCCATTTGGCCAAATCACAACAAATATGACACATGCTTTTTTTAGGACAGCAAATGTGACTTTGTAGAACACTTTTGAATGACCACATGTAATTGCCGCACTGGAAAACATTCATCCAGTATGATTGGCCAGTGTTATTGGGGTATTGTTGGATTCTTTATCTCATGATATGCAAAGTAGTTTTGATTTCATTCAAACCAAACATCCAATCGATGAGAAATATGTTAATCAATTTGTGAAATTTTACCACGGTCGGTCAAGCAAAGTGACACATTGTTATTGGAACGATAGTACATTACAAAATTAATGAACTGATTTACATTTTAAGGTATAAAGCAATAATAATCATCTGACATGAAAGGTGCTGGAAGAATTAAACTCATCATCATATGTTTTTAGAACTGTTTACAAAATAATATAAAAGATCCACAGCAGATGGTCTTTACACTTTGCTGAGGTGTTAAACCAAAATAAAACCTGACAAATACAGTGAAACACACTAGATCTAACATCCATGTATTTATGAGCAAAGTAGGGATTAGAAAGAAAATAACACATCTACATTAATGCTGATTGTACAAAATAAGCAGCTTCTCCAACTATGTTGAGGTTTGCTTATAGCATAATTCTTCAAGATCTAGACGCAGGAATAACCAAGTTGACAATTCAGATTATTTCTGTTTTAAAAGTGGGTGACATTTACTTGGGATTTTGCAGTATCCATTGAGATTTTTCAGGCTGTAACTCGGGGAATACTTGAGACATGTTGTCTATAAGCTGGACCCTCTCAAGGTAGTTTTTGCAGCAGTGTTTGTAAACATCACGAAACATACCAGGACAATTGGCCCGTCCACCTACTAAAATAAAATTTACATTTGCCAATGGTCTTTGATACCTTCAATATGAATATGGCATAACTTTACAAGAAGAGATGATTTGAAAAAAATTAATTAATGTGAGCCAATTTTTGTACGCTGCAAACATTTATAGATTCATGGAAATTAATAGTCTTGATATCTACATGTATATTCAGTCTGGTTGTAAATATCAATGCAGGTAAAACGAACTCCCTTGACATTTAATGATTCTACAGGACTCGGCATGCTGGTAAAAAACAAGACCAATCCTTCACAAGAAGATTGTCATGTCTCAGATTTTTACTTTCTGTGTAGCTAAGTGTAAACTTAAACTTTTTTTGTTTTTTGAAAAGTTGACTGGGAAAAATAAAATGAGTAATCGGTTGAGTGTGTTTGTGTGTGTGTTGGAGGGGGGGGGGGGGGGTTAATAACTAGTAAGAACTGCATGTATTAATGAACCATGCCTATTAAAATTCATAGGTAGGAATTATATTCTTTAGATTTTGTTGTAGACTGTTTTATATTGTTAATTTCTAATGATATAATTGTCAACATACTTAATTAAAACACGTAGATGATATTTATTTCTTAATATTTAATAATTTCTAATCAAAATTATAGTTATTAACATGATTCCTATCTATAAGGCAAGCATATATGACATGTTTATCATCTCTGTCAATTATCACCTCCCCCATTATCATGAGATTATGATCACATCATATGTAAACAAATCTAGAATATTCCGTACATTACTGAAGGTTACTTTAAAAAACAAGAGATGTTTGTAAAACACTTATGCCCTCCCCTCCCCAAATTAATTGGAATTTTTTCAAAGTCCAAGGGGCATAACTCTGCCAAAAAGGGCTCGGTCGTTCGAAAACAAAATTTGACCTAGATATTCTATGATAAATCTGTATACCAAATTTCATTTCAATATGTGCAACCTCTGTGAAGAAAATGAATGGAAACTGCAAATAATTGGAATTTTTCCAAGTCCAAGCAAAGCAATATCCCTCCCTTCTTCAAAGGGGGCATAAATATACAGGTTAACTTTTGTATTGGGATACCAAAAAACCCCGAGTAATGCATGCTGATTTTTTGTCTATGAACATCTGATGGTGCTATAATCTTTTACATCTACTATTATAACTCTGTATAAAATTAATACCATAAAACTGCCTATTTCCCCAAGAAGAGACTATTTCCCTCATCTGATGACTACTCCCTGAAAAATCAGAGCTACGCCCTGGGACTACTCCCTCATGAATATTTGTTAGTAATTTTGACCAATCAAAGTGTTCAGTGGGCGGAGCATTCAAGGAATCTTGAGTCTGTGACACAATGTAACTATGACATCAAAACATTTTGACATGTGATGTCAAAATCATACTTGAATTCTAGCAAAATGAAGACAACAATAAATTATCAATGTCTTCATTTTGCTAGAATTCAAGTATGACTTTTGACATCGCATGTCGAAATGTTTTGACGTCATAGTTACATTGCTTATAACATGACGTCACAGACTCGAGATTCCTTGAACGCTCTGCCCACTGAACACTTTGACTGGTTAAAATTTCTAATAAATATTCATGAGGGAGTAGTCCCAGGGAGTAGCTCTGATTTCCAAGGAAGTAGTCTTCAGATGAGGGCAATAGTCTCTTCTTGGGGAAATAGGCAGTTTTATGGTATTAATTTTATATAGAGTAATTACAGTAGAGGTATAATAATCCATTTTATCCCGCTTCAGACAATTTTGTAGATTACTGATTGGATAAAAGCTAATCACATGAAGCCCTGAAATTTTCCGTATTACGTCACAGTCAAGGAGTAATATTAAAATCGGGCACGTGATTACGATCGAAGCGTCATTTTTGTAAAATAAAAATGGCAGCTAAGTAATGGTGTGCGTGGGTAAATTTCTTGTCACTTGTAATGGTATTTTATGTTGATTGTTATTGGATTGACTTGATATTTTTATAATATGCTCATAGATTTAATTTTATATTTAAAAGTCTTCAGCGGGATAAATTCGTAACACAGTCAGTTTAGGGACCTAATACGGAGTCAATCAAGTCATACAGGGTGTGAAATGGAAATCCATATTGGGACTTGGCTTCACCTTGCCCAATACAGATTTCCATTTCACACCCTGTATGACTCCGTACTAGAATTAGGTCCATAACTGACTGTGTAACTCATAATATAGTATGATAAAATTTTAATCTCAAAACATATTGCACATTTGTCCCTTAAAATGGTATCTTTGCAATCATGTCATAAAATCAATGCAAATTTGAAAGAAACCTTATATTAGGTCTTTAAAAAATTCACAAACTTATTTTATAAAAAAAGAAGTGCATTTTGTTCTTTAACTCAAGTTATCACTAAGAAACAATTTCTCTTCAAACTATACCATAAAACCTGAACATTCCAAGAAGACATCTAGTAAGCAAGTTGCAAGATTATTTCTCAAAAAAAAATGCAACCATACAACATCCCAGTGTTCCTTACTGGCCATTAAGTGACAGAGATCTAGGATACCTCTTTTTCTGGCAGGTTGAGAGTCTTCCTCTATCCCTTCAGGGTCTGATTGGCTGTTCATTGACTCATCGCTGATATCTTCATCTACATCTTCCTCCTCCTCCTCCTCCTGATCATCTTCCTCCTCTACGTCTAGTTTGACCTCCGGGTCATCGTCACTATCACCCTCCGCACACACATCTCCACTGGCTGATATATCCTTCAGAACACGCACTGCCCTGGAAATAAACCATTTACCATGGTAAACCTCAAGACCAATCATTTTTTAGTTTTATTTCTCTTAAAGCTACTGAGTTAGATAGTTGCTTCCTTTCCAGTTCAGATACAGTACACATTCTTTTTTCTGCTTGGAATAATTTACACTTCCTTTATGGTCACAAACTTTACACTAAAGAAATTCCACAGCATAGGAAAAGTTCATTAAAGACATAAAACAGCATCCAAGCAATCCCCCATCTTTACAAATTAAACTTCATTGTGATTCCAAAAAATTATGATCAAATTGGAAAATGTTTGCAGTATAAAGACAATAATGTGAAAAAATCTTTTTGTGTCACCTGCAGAACAGTTTAAAACTTAGGTTTCACTTTGCCCTTTGTCTTTCCATCTTTCACACCCCATATTTTGGAAACTGCAAGGGATATGAATTTGATATTTTCAAATATTGCCTGGCAATTTAGCTTTATTTTTTGTAAAATGCCATGGTTATCAATCTTGTGACCCTTGAACTTGACCTCATCGTTTACCAAAAAGTTTCAGGTGCTGATTTATAAACTCCAGCATGTCAAGTCTTCTGAGCTAATTCAGTGAACTTAAGTGAGCATTCACAGAGTATTAACAAAGTGAAGACCACATACTAAGTGAACTTTACTTAGGAGTGGACATTTAGTTTGAACAAAGTGATGATCACATGCAAAGTGAACTTTAGTGAGCAGTGAACACTCAGTATGAACAAAGAGCATGTGCTAAGTGAACTTTACTGAACAGTGAACACTCAGTATGAACAAAAAGCATGTGCTAAGTGAACTTTACTGAGCAGTGAACACTCAGTATGAACAGAGAGAAGACAATGGTGAGTGAGATTATTGAACTTTTACTTCTTTAATTTATGTTTGTGTTTAAAATTTAATTGAACAAGAGGCACAGGGGCCAAATCGCTCACCTGAGCAACTGGCTAGGTAAAAGCAAAAATTAGTTCAGTATTGAAAAGTTTAAATATATTATAAAAATGGGGCCTGGGGAGGGGAGGGGGTATTTAAACAAACTTAAATCTACACTTCCTTAGAATGCTTTTTCGACACATTATGGTTTTGTTGTTTATAAGATTTATAGAAATTTTTATTGATATAGTCTTTGTATTCATTTGTCCACTTAATGGCTCCTCTGTTCTCCTGAATTTCAAATCTATGCTACCTGAGGTTGCTTCCACATGAGTTTCATCTTTCCTGGCCCAGTGGTTCTTGAGAAGATTTTTAAAATTTTTAAAGATTTTCCCTATGTTTTCCTATGTTAAACTTTGATACCCCATTGTGGCCCCACCCTACCCCTGAGGTACATGATTTGAACATGATGAGATGATTCCACATGAGTTTCATCTTTCCTGGCCCAGTGGTTCTGGAGAAGAAGATTTTCAAAAGATGACATTAATTTTTCACTAATTCATAATTATCTCCCCTTGGAAGAGGGGTGGCCCTTCATTTGAACAAACTTGAATCCCCTTTACCCAAGGATACTTTGTGGCAAGTTTTATTGAAATTGTCCCAGTGGTTCTTGAGAAGAAGATGAAAATGTGAAAAGTTACCGACGACAACGACTACAATGACAATGACTACAAGGACAACAACAGACAACGGACAAATTTTGATCAGAAAAGCTCACTTGAGCATGTGGCCCAGGTGAGCTAAAAATAATGGCAAAAGGTAGACATGCAATTATTTCATGGTGCTCAGTGGTGATTCATTTTTTATCATAGAAGAACAATAAAACATTTAGGGTAATGACTGGGTACGTTTAAAAACCCGCAATAAACACTTGACAAACTGTCTAAATGAGTTAGGGTTAATGTATGAGTGATGCTCCATTCCTGAAAGATAATGAAGCCAAGGCTTTAAAGTGGTGAAGGCCCACTGCTTTTAAGGAATGGAGTGGATACTGAGTAAGGGAACACAGAGTGTACAGTGAGCAGGCACAGAGAACTGAGAGTGGATACTAAGGAACACAGAGTGTACAGTGAGCAAGCACAGAGAACTGAGAGTGGATACTGAGTAAGGAACACAGAGTGTACAGTGAGCAAGCACAGAGAACTGACAGTGGATACTGAGTAAGGGAACACAGAGTGTACAGTGAGCAAGCACAGAGAACTGACAGTGGATACTAAGGAACACAGAGTGTACAGTGAGCAAGCACAGAGAACTGACAGTGGATACTGAGTAAGGAACACAGAGTGTACAGTGAGCAAGCACAGAGAACTGACAGTGGATACCGAGTAAGGGAACACAGAGTGTAGAGTGAGCAAGCACAGAGAACTGACAGTGGATACTAAGGAACACAGAGTGTACAGTGAGCAAGCACAGAGAACTGAGAGTGGATACTGAGTAAGTGAACACAGAGTGTACAGTGAGCAAGCACAGAGAACTGAGAGTGGATACTGAGTAAGTGAACACAGAGTGTACAGTGAGCAAGCACAGAGAACTGAGAGTGGATACTGAGTAAGGAACACAGAGTGTACAGTGAGCAAGCACAGAGAACTGACAGTGGATACTAAGTAAGGGAACACAGGAATGAACAGTGAGCAAGCACAGAGAACTGACAGTGGATACTAAGGAACACAGAGTGTACAGTGAGCAAGCACAGAGAACTGAGAGTGGATACTGAGTAAGGGAACCCAGAGTGTACAGTGAGCAAGCACAGAGAACTGAGAGTGGATACTGAGTAAGGAACACAGGAGTGAACAGCGAGAAAGCACAGAGAACTGAGAGCGGATACTGAGTAAGGGAACACAGAGTGTACAGTGAGCAAGCACAGAGAACTGAGAGTGGATACTGAGTAAGGGAACACAGGAATGAACAGTGAGCAAGCACAGAGAACTGACAGTGGATACTAAGGAACACAGAGTGTACAGTGAGCAAGCACAGAGAACTGACAGTGGATACTAAGGAACACAGAGTGTACAGTGAGCAAGCACAGAGAACTGACAGTGGATACTAAGGAACACAGAGTGTACAGTGAGCAAGCACAGAGAACTGAGAGTGGATACTGAGTAAGGAACACAGAGTGTACAGTGAGCAAGCACAGAGAACTGACAGTGGATACTGAGTAAGGGAACACAGAGTTTACAGTGAGCAAGCACAGAGAACTGACAGTGGATACTAAGGAACACAGAGTGTACAGTGAGCAAGCACAGAGAACTGAGAGTGGATACTGAGTAAGGGAACACAGGAATGAACAGTGAGCAAGCACAGAGAACTGACAGTGGATACTGAATAAGGGAACACAGAGTGTACAGTGAGCAAGCACAGAGACCTGAGAGTGGATACTGAATAAGGGAACACAGAGTGTACAGTGAGCAAGCACAGTGAACTGAGAGCAGATACTAAGTAAGGGAACACAGAGTGTACAGTGAGCAAGCACAGAGAACTGACAGTGGATACTAAGGAACACAGATTGTACAGTGAGCAAGCACAGAGAACTGACAGTGGATACTAAGGAACACAGAGTGTACAGTGAGCAAGCACAGTGAACTGAGAGTGGATACTGAGTAAGGGAACACAGGAATGAACAGTGAGCAAGCACAGAGAACTGAGAGTGGATACTGAGTAAGGAACACAGAGTGTACAGTGAGCAAGCACAGAGAACTGAGAGTGGATACTGAGTAAGGGAACACAGAGTGTACAGTGAGCAAGCACAGAGAACTGAGAGTGGATACTGAGTAAGTGAACACAGAGTGTACAGTGAGCAAGCACAGAGAACTGAGAGTGGATACTGAGTAAGGGAACACAGAGTGTACAGTGAGCAAGCACAGAGAACTGAGAGTGAATACTGAGTAAGGGAACACAGAGTGTATAAGAAAGCGGATTGAATTGTTAAATATCCTGAACTGTTGACATATCTGCAGGGCTCAACATTAACTTTAAAACAAACTAGACCAGTCGGACTAGTTATTGAAAATTTTACTAGACCTGACCTCAATTTCACTAGACCTGACCTTATATCTGTGAATCACTGAATGATCGTACATTTGTTGTTTTTTTTTGCTAATATAATTACATTATGATCATACATGTACATGAAATAAATATATATTTAGTATTAGACAGTTTTAAAGGAAGTAATCTTGGTTCAGTGTAAATAATAGTTCTTCTTCGTTTTTTCTTCCACCGGAGAAACCAAAGTTGTACAACGACATCGTCAATGTAAACTAATGTATGGTTATCGTTAGTTGGTCTTTTTTTTTAAAGTAATTAATTTATTTTTTTGTGAATAAAAATATTCTAAATCAGTTCATATCAGATCCAAAATACATATCAGAAAAGGAGAAGTATTTCTAATCGATTCTAAAGACCTGAAATTATACCCTGCAGATATCGTAAACATGACCTAGCAGGAAGGATAACACCTATACATGTAGGTCCTAGTAGATTTAGTTTTTTTAGCGAAAACATTGGCAAAATAATGATATATGCAAAATTACACTAACGATATACAAACAAAATCGGTAAAAACTATTTTGATGCAGTAAAAAGTAGAGTTTTCTTTCATTTTCCTTTTCAGGAATATTTTAAATTGTGAATAATTTTCATTGGGATCGAAAAATGAATCAAAGTAAAACCTGATTTAACACATTGATAATACAAACAAAATCAATTGTTCAGAAATGTACTGAGGGATATGTTCACATGACCAGTCGGGCTACCTTGAGGCGAAATAAACTAGACCGGCCGGACTGAACTTTTACTAGTCAGAGTCAGTCGGACGTGCTTTAATGTTCAGCCCTGATCTGATGTCAAAATACTGAAGTTTACCTGAATATATTATACATATATCACATGGCTTCAAGGGTGACATACCAGAATATTTGCCCCGATGTGACAGGAAAGCACTGGAGTGTAATGTCACCCGATGCCGTAGGCAGAGGGTGTCATAATACACTCCAGGGCTTTCCTGTCATCGAGGGGCAAATGATGTTCTGGTAAATGACATTTTTAAAATAAAAAAATAAAATCATTTAAAATTTACACAGATAATCCAAAAATGTTTTCTTGACATTAAGTGTAACGCTCCGTTGTTTACTTTTGCTTAGCAACCTACGTCATAAAATTGAACCTGAACTGAAATGCGTAATGTAAAAACACATGAACGTGATTGAGAGGGTGATATAACTGCTTCCGTTGGGGGTGACATAACTGTTTCCAGCATGACATAACTGTTTCCGGTGTGACTCTGCATTTTTCAGGGTTTATAGTGAAACTTATTACATTTGTGATATAATAGGAAAACTTGATTCAAAAATGTTATATTCATGTATGTGTGTGTGTGAATTTCTGTGTTGCTCTTACTTTTTGGCTGCTTTACGTATCCGTCTGCCGTCTTTATCTGTGCCAGCTTCCTCCTCCTTGTCCCTCTTCTTTATCTTCTGTAGCTGACGCAGCTGTTCCTTCCGTTCCTTCTCCTTCCTCTCCACCAGTCTGTGGTTCCTGTAATGCTCCATTTCATACATCTTCATACAACTCCGGCTACAAATGGTGCAGGTGAACATCTCCTCCTACAACAATAAGAAACAATATTTTTTTTCATGTAGGAATAAGGTTGGATAACATTTTTCTTATCATGCTAGTAATCAAGCCAATGATCTGGTCTTAAACATGTTAAAGGAATAATTCTGCCAAAAGGAACAAAACATGGCATATTAGGGAATTTCATTTATATGCATCTTTAATTTATCCTAATTAGATTGAACTTTTTTAAATCTGGATTTTAAGTTTTCCATAATCTTGCCTAATACTGTAAAACATCCTTTATTTGCTTGCCAGAAATATTCGCGAGTTTCGTGACCTATTTTAAGTGACGAAGATTAATCGCCACATACCATTTATTTTGCTTTATTTTGTAGAAAATGTTTCCTAATTCATGAAAATTAATCATCGCAGATTGATTTCAAACTGACGAATTGCGAATAAAAGATGTCGCCAATAATAGTTGGTTTACAGTATGATGTAAACTTTTAGTCCCTTTCAGTATTAAATTTATTAATTGATTAAAAAGGTATCTAATCTTGAATGCAACTTCCTTGGAACCAGTTGCAATTGGTATCTGAACTACAAGGTTTACTATAGTTTTCAGGTCCAACTCTTTGACATCCACTGCCTATTAGCAATCCTGCAACAAATTGTATTCAAGCAATCTTTGCAGATTTTAGATATGCCCCTAAAAGGAATTTCTTCATGTCTGACGTCCTGAGAGGCTGAAGATTTAAGTCATAGGACTCAACATAAGGCATTGAGTAAAATTTGTAAGCTAATGGAAGAGTCAAATAGTTGGAAAAGGTTGATAAATTCATAACAAATTATTTTTAGGTCATTATTTTAAATAAAAAATGTGCATAGTTTCTTTGAAACTGAGCAAAATGCAAATTTAGGAAAAGCGAGTTCAAAGTAAAAGGGAATTTCAAGTTGCTTTTTTTGGAAGCTGTTGAATAGATCTTACTCTCTAATACTGAGGTGAGGTCTGGAAAGCTATATAGCAAAACTTGTTTAGTATGAACACGGATATTGCGAATTTACAGATATAGCAAAGTCATCTTAAATCCCCAGCTATATGAATTTAATGAATTTCTTTGACTGTTATAACGAATTACGGATATAGCGAAGTAATTTCATAGGTCCCTGTGACTTCGTTATAATCGAGTTTTGCTGTAATTTTTGTGTAAATTTCCCTTTTACCTTGACCTCCCTATTCTTGAATAAGTAATTAGTTCTGTTTCAAATAAACTATTCAAGATAGTTTTATCTAACTTCATATGCTTTAACATATTGATGAGAACTATTCAGAGAACTTCAGCTCTTTTTGAACTTGACCTTTCCATTGATTTTAAAATATTCATAACTTTTCTTGAAGTATGTTAAACAATTGAATAGTTTCTTTGAAACTGAGGTAAACAAAAAGTGTGATAGATGGACAGATGGAGAACAGAGGGACATAAGACAAACACTATAATGTGTTGGAGCCATGTTGATTGAAGGACATACGAGGGCTGTTCAATAAAAAATGTCCTGAACTGTATGACATACAATACAGATATCATATGACCATGATGACATTAAACTTGACTTTCTCTCATTATTGAATCTTTACTGAATTTATAACAGTTTATGTGACCACTTTTCATCACATAGTTTCATCGTGAGAAGCTGGGAAACAAGGGCTATTCGAGACACTGCATTATAAATGAATGGTAAAGAATCAGTAAACTAGAGTGAAAATAAAAGATTCATTAAAGCTGCTGTAAAACTTGATAAACATCCCAAAGAAATATTCACTGAAATATGTGACATTTACAGCAACCAATGCCTCACGGCGGGGAATCTACGTCATCGTACAGGATTAGGACACACAAAAATGGAGGACAAATGCTCCGCTTCGATGTCCGAAATTGATATTTTTGCACTAATAAAGAATGGATATTAAATTAGTACCCTGCCTAAAGTATGCCAAAGAACGTCAACTACAATATATATTGTACGTTTGTTCGTGATAGAATCTTATTTTTCCAAACACTTCGACACAGTTTGAAAACAAGTGAGAAAAACCCGGGATGTGGGGCACACACTTTTAAAATTCGACCTATTATTCGCATGTCCAGATGTACTAAGACATTTTATTCTTCTGCGTTTACACTATAACTAATATTTTTAAAAATCCAGATTTGTTTAATAGTTTATTATGCTTTAATTATCCAAGAAAAAAGTATAAATCATTTTGTTTTCAGAAATGATGTAGGGCACACCATCACTAAAACGGATATGGGACACACAACAAGTTACTTTCAAACATTCATATCTGAATGTTTCCATTTAAATGACTGCTGTTAGATAGAATATAAACAATAACCTGTACAACTCATCTTTGTTATATTCATCCACATACTTGATTCCCTTCGTTTGCTTGTATCCAGACAAAAATTATAAGTTGAAAATGGTGGATTATTCCTCAAAAAAAGCTTCCAACAAGAATTTTAAATTTTGACTTTTATTAAATTTCATGTAGATATTTACCGGTGTTAACTTGTGCAGATCTATACTATAGAAAGAGGGGTACCGAAGTCCGGAGGTTGTGTTTATTTTATGATACTTCTATTTTAAGTTACACGACATCCGCCCCCCCCCAAAAAAACAACAAAAACAAAATAAAAACTAAAAACACACAAACACACTCACTAAATAAGTTCTTTTTAGGTTGGTTGTTTACTTTATTGCTTGTCAAAATAGTTTGGGGTCAAAAAATTCTTTGGAGACTGTGTGGACCCCCCCCCCTTCCATCCCGAAAAGTTCCTAAATCTGCATATTGGTATTAATAATAAGATCTTGGGCACTAGCATGTCTTTTAATGTGGGAAAGAGATCAAGAACTTTTCTTATGCTCAAATATTTGCAACAACTGACCCTCCAGGTGAATTTAAGAATTTTTTTCCCTACACATGCTATAATGGTCTATAAATAGATCGGGGAAATTCCAAATTGAAACAAATAGTTTCGGAAAGCTATTTTATTTGCTCCTAACTTGCACTCAGGTGAACATAAAATTAGTAATCGAATGTATGGAAGTGGTTGCCAGTGATGGGGAGGGCCAAAACAAAAATGGAAGTTAAAAATTGTCTTTGCGTTGTTGCCAATCAAAGGTTTTTAGCTGTCATTTTTCTCTGATAATGCCCCCCCCCCCTCCAAAACTTATCCTATAAAAGAGCTTGACATTATTTCTTTTTTTTTTTTGGTATAGCTACTTAAGTACTTTTTACAAAAAATCCCAATTTATACTGCTATAGTATTATTTACTTAACCCGGCTCCTATCATTGCTTTTGGCTAATATTCCAGCTAATGTAAATAAGATGGCATGAACTGCTTTATGAGTACGTAATATTTAATCACTGATTCATACATGTATGATAAAACAATAATTGTTGTTTTTTTTCAATCAATACGATGATTTAGCCACCTTCGAAGCACAATATTAAACTTTGTCTTTTTTCTCAAATACATGTATGGAGTCGGTAATAGACTATAAGAATTTTGACACAAGTTTGTCAGCCGTTGCAAATATTTGAGCATTAGAAAAGTTCCTTAATCTCCACTTCCTATCAGCTGACATACTATAGAGTCTTGCAATTGCCGACAAAGATCTAATAAATACAATCACTGAATATACGAATACAGAAACTTTTTGAGGGAGGGGGGTTCCACACAAACTAAAAAAAAAAGTTCTGACTCCAAAATATTTTTACAAGCAAAGAAATTAAACAATCAACCTAAAAAGAGCTATTTCATGTGTTTTCAATAGCGTCTGGGTCGTGTTACTTAACACAGAAATATCGTAGAGTACGTAGAATATACATAGACTCCGGACTTCAACCCTCCTTTTAGATCCGCATATGTATATACTAGTATCTTTAAATATGATATTTAATTATAGTCAACATTTGAAATTCATTTTGGCAGCTTTTGTTGAGGATCACGCAGGCCATTTCAACTTATAATATTTGAATTTTTGTATGGATACAAGCAAACCAAGGGAGAATCAAATATTTGGATGAGTATTACAAAGATGTGTTGTACAAGATACAAGATATTTTACCAATCAAGGGCCCCGAGGGGCATTTCAAAATACATAAATGTACAATTTAAACATTCTTTTTTTTGAACAATATAATTTTTAAACAGTTATATAAATGACCAAGTTACATAATAATATTATTCTCAGTGTCAATGATCATACATAATACAAGTGTCCGTCCAGAAGAATGTCAATGATCACAAAGCAATACAAAAGTGTGATGCTATACATGTATAAATTTAAATGGCTTAGCATGCATAAAAATGATGACAGAATCTACATATTTATACATTGGTTCTTTTATCATTTTCAGAAATAAATTTTGCAAGTAAGCATAAAATTTCTTTATTTTTATTATTCAATATCCATATACGTTTTTCAGCAGGTGTCAAAGAAGAGAAGTTTGGGTTGATTTTTGATATTGTTTCCATTAATTGCAACCTTTCATTGCTGTATTTTGGACAAATGAGCAAAAAATGTTGTTCATCTTCAATTTCTAGTATATTACATTGAAAAACACTTTCTAGATTCAGGGGGAAGTCCTGCATATCTTCCCCTTTCAATATTTAACTGATGTGCAGAAAAGCGAAGTTTAGTTACATGTATATTTTTCCTCAGATCATAGTTATTGACAATGTTGAGATAGTGTTCTCTTCCATAACTGGTTTTGAAGATGGAATAAGTTCTTAGTTTACCATCATTTTCCTGCCTATTTTCTCTATACCATTGGTTTATAAAATATTGTCTTATAATACATGATGACTTCTTTTTTTTTAAAAATGAACAAGTACTATATTTTGATCAGTCAATATTTTTGAAAGCAGTTAATGACCCAAAATTGTCTCAATGGATGCAAACCAAGATGGTTTACTTTCTAAAAAGAGGCTTCTTTGAGTAGGACAAAAGATGGATGTAATGTTTTTAGTCAAAACCAGTAACTCAGCATAACTTTAATAACTGAATGATACAGTGGAAGAGTCATTGTTCATATACTATCAAACAGCAGTCATTTAAATGGAAAGATTAAGATATGATCGAATGCTCGATGTTTCTATTTGAAAGTAACTTGTTGTGTGTCCCATATCCGTTTTAGTGATGGTGTGCCCTACATCATTTCTGAAAACAAAATGATTTATACTTTTTTCTTGGATAATTAAAGCATAATAAACTATTAAACAAATCCGGATATTTTAAAATATTAGTTCTAGTGTAAACGCAGAAGAATTAAATGTCTAGTACATCAGGACATGCGAATAATAGGTCGAAATTTAAAAATGTGTGCCCCACATCCCGGGTTTTTCTCACTTGTTTTCAAACTGTGTTGAAGTGTTTGGAGCAATAAGATTCTATCACGAACAAACGTACAATATATATTGTAGTTGACGTTCTTTGGCATACTTTAGGCAGGGTACTGATTTAATATCCATTCTTTATAAGTGCAAAAATATCAATTTCTGACATCGAAGCGGAGCATTTGTCCTCCATTTTTGTGTGTCCTAATCCTGTACGATGACGTAGATTCCCCGCCGTGTGCCTGTTTATAGACAAATGAGTAGGTGGATTTCAATGATAAAAAAATATATAATGGGCATCAAAAATGGGTACCGTCTTTGCCAACAAAAATTATAACAACTTATGTACTGTTCGCCAAATTTCAACAAATAATATTTGATGAGGTATGATTGACTTTAAGACACATAGCAAAGAATGGGTGGACTTAACGCCCTAATTTGGATCTTTTTGAGACTACTCTAACAAGTTGAAAATAAAGTGAATCCAAAATATATTACAACCACTAGAAAGAGCGATGTATACATGGTTATTTTAGCTAGAACATATGTACAAAAGCAATGCCTTGTTGCCATGAATCAAAATTGAACAACGATACATCATTGTCGTCTTCCGGAATTTGACATGTACGCGGAGTGGTGTTTAGGTCGCGCTATCAATATTAATAGGAGACGGGGCTATCGATCGGTGTCATTGTTGACATTTTTCTCTCTCTCCATCTCTCTCTCTAGAAATTCGAATACGTGTTTGGAATATTACATCGATGTCATTATGATTTTTTTAAAAAAATGTGAGGACACGCAAAAATAAAACAACATTTAATGTGCTAAATTCTGAAAGCGGCACCAAACATAGTGATTTACATCTAGGTCAGGTTGAAAAATACAATGTAACTGTTTCCACGAGTACACTCGCATGTGGACATCACGTGATGGATTGTAATATTTAACAGGTCAATCGAAGTCATAACAATGGAAGCGAGAAGTTTGTTTGCAACATGTTTTTTTGTTAAATTAAGTGTGAGCACATGTTTGTCGGCTCTTCTCCTTTTAATATGACATTATAATGTTCAATATACAACTACAGTTTTCGTAAGAACAGCCGACAAACATGCGCTGACTATGTATTCAGACGATGAAAAATGCGTGACCCTGATTATCTATTGATATTCAACAAATCTTCAGGCACCATACCTTTGATATTTATTAGTTTACCTCGAAAAGAGCATTTTAAATTCACATCCGTACCATAAATACACAGTTAAGATATCCATGATATCGGGGGTTTATTTGATGGAAAAAAATTAACATTTTATGGAACTTAAATTTGCGGCATTTTTTCGGCCAGTTTAGTCCACCCATTCTTTAATAGACCTCATATCGGGAGTCTTAACAATTATTTTAAAATATCAGTAATTGTAGTTATCCACGTTTGTTTTATATTCAAACAGATATTGGAACATGAATCTATTGCTTAAAACCCTCAAAACAAAAATTACCATAAGATGTACTTGATAAAAACAGCGAAGTTCTGACAAGAGCAAAGATATACAAGAGCACAAAGACAGATTCATATGCAATTTTCTTAAAATATTAGTGGTATTGTTGTTCAAATTCGTATTCGGGTAGATAGTTTAGTTTCTGGAGGAGTTTAGAAAGCAATTTTTTTGCAAAAAAATCGAAAGGTTTATTAGAGAAAGCACCCAGAATTAGGAATCCACTACATTGAATTTCTTCATGACAGCGTCCAAACCCGCATGCCCTGAAGAGTAAAGGGGTTTTCGGGATAAACAGAAAGTTAATGTTTCTCACATTAACAATATTCGCCAGATCTTTGATCTTTTGACTTGTTTCTATTTCCAAACTTGAAAAAAACACCTTTCAGAACAAACAAACAGGCCCAGGAAATCATTGAATCTGCCATTTTCCAGTATACTAAGGGTCATACCCAAAAATGAGTTCTAAAAGCAATCAGAAATTGGATAAATAATGTTACAAGTACCAGTCAGCATTTTACTTGATGATCACCCCCCCCCCTTTTTTTTAAACCATTGCCACAAGTCTGATTTTCTTAAAATTTGCCTCAGATTCAAAAATGAATTGAACTCACATACACATACATGTGTTTCTGGCAAAAACAAGGTAGAAAACATTTCCTAACTAGAGATATTGTGTGAAAATGGACTTATCAGACTATTATTTTATGGTCAGTGTAAATTAATGAAATTATCACCAAGCAATGCATGTACTTTAAATCAGCAAAACCTTTTCTAAAACAGCAGACAGAGTGACTTAATAAGTAAATAAAACAGTGGGAATAATATAAAAATAACCAGGATGCGGTTGTATCAACAATTATTAAATTTAATAACTAATTAAGCTTAATGAATCATTTAACTCTTAATGATACATAAGTTAATGAAGCTATGAGAGTGTGTTGTACAAAACCTTTATTAGAGTCTTATTACTTAACGTATTATTTATTACACATTTTTAAAGAATTCATTTAAATTTTATTAAAATTAGGGGAATGTCCTACGATGCAATGCATCACCACTTGCAGGAGAGGGGGTGTTTCTGTGTGTGTTTCCTTGTTTGTGGGTGTTGCAATCTATCACTGCATATAGCCAATAAAATTCAAAGGTCCCCATGGCCATGACTTCGATTTAACCGAGTTTTACTGTATAACGTTTATTTTTTTTTTTAATTGTTAAATTTTATTCATTTGTCAAAATAGAACATGCTTTAAACAGGTATAAATTTTCATAACTTAAAAAAATGAAATAGCTTAACAATATTTGGCATAATTAAAGTTCATGTCTCTGAGAAGATTAAAATGAATCCTGCTAAAACAATTACAAAGTACTGCCCAAAAAAATTACCTCTCTCCCACACCACTCTGTATGTTTGAAGTAATACTGTGCATTCCGCAGTTCCTTGTCACATTTGGGACAGTAGAGGATCTTCCTGACTTTTAAGATCTGTCGAACTGAGGCTCTGTCATCCTTACCCTCGGGGCAGTCTGTACTATACTGCAAAACCAATCAAACAATTAATATTCTGTTTGCTTTACTCTTAATCTTTTTAATTCATAGTTGTCTGGGTTATATTGAAAAACATTTGTCGTGAATGAACAATACTCTGTATGCTTTATTCTTAAGACTTTTTAATTCTCATATTATTTTGCCAGCTAAGGATTTTTGGTTCACTCTGCTCCCATTAATAGGGAGCAGAGCGGATCAAATACCCTTGGTTAACGACGATGCTTAATTAATTGTTTTCTTGTAGTCTTATTCTGATGCCAAAAGACCTCCCTAATCACCTGAGTATCAAAAAAATTTAAACACTTGTACTGTATACAGCCCTTCAATGAACATTTTCAATAGTACAAGTTATGTTTTTAAAAAAAATGGGGCCCCCGACCCCCCTGTTGCTATGTGCCTGCATTCTATAGAGGGCTCGCTGCTGCATGTGTCACATAACCTACAAAGTAGCATCACTAACACTTACAAGAGCAGTATGTCTTCTCATCAAATGGCTTTTCAGGGCGTATAAATTCGGGAATTTCGCTTGACAGCGAAGGCAGGTCATTTCAGATTCAGTGTCTTCTTTTGTTTTCTAGAATACAAATTCATAGAATGAACAATTTGACAAAGTAAATAACTTTTTGAATTTAAATAAAGACAAAGAAAACTAACTCTGTTTCTTTTCACTTTCATAAGAAATGTACTGATCCATGTACAGTATAACATGCTTAACAAACAAGCCTGTAATGAATTAATGCTTATAGTGGAGATATTCTCATTTACAGTGTGTTTTGAAGCTAATGGATATCATTACAAAATACATTTATGATGAATTTGTTCATTTGTCATCTAAAAAGGTTTCCTGGACATTTAATTCCTTTGTTTTTAAATTAACCCTACTCAACATAAAGTCATGTAAAAATTTCATATGAAATTTAATTTCACTGATAAATGTTAACAATAATATAAATGAAATTTAATCCATAAGAGATATTTCTGCTTTTACAATGGGTCTTAACAAAATATGTATGAAATGCTTTAATTTATAATATTAAAAGCTGTGAAAAGGGGAATAACTCTTTTGCATTATGTTTCGTGTGAATATTATAATTTTAAGATACCAATGTACATGTATGTATAAATAATTAAGACATCTCGTTTTTCTCTAATGTACATATATTATTTGTACCATCAGGGTCTTTGCTGCTTTCCAATAACTATTAAATGAAAATAAATCAAACCTGCAGGTGTCTTGATATCTGCAAGACTCCTGTTACAAAATCTGTTGCAAGATATTAAACATGGTTTAGTTCACAACAAGCTATATATAACCTAAATATTACCTTTGGTTTTCTTCCCCTTCCTCTGGGTTTTTCCACAGGAGTTACTTCCCTGTCACTTCCATCGCTGACTTCCTCCCCTGAGCTGATACTCTGTGATTTCTCTGCCTTTTTCTGACACGCTTTTCTTCCCCTCCCTCTCTGTTTTTCCACAGGAGTTACCTCCCTCTCACTTCCTTCACTGACTTCCTCCCCTGAGCTGATACTGGGTGATTTCTCTGCCTTTTTCTGACTCACTTTTCTCCCCCTTCTCCCCGTGGACTGTGGAGTACTATCAATGTCCTGTCCTTCTCTTTTAGATTTATTAATACCACTTTTATCTTCCTCCTCTTCTGAATCATCACTGACATCATCTTCCATCTTCACTTTCCTGCTTCCTCGTCTTCCTCTAGTACCTGTTTCCACAGAAGAAGAATTACTTTTGTCATCTTTTTTATCCTCGCTATCTTTCCCAGCTTTAAATGATGGTCGTTTTCTCTTGGGTGTTGGAGTTTCTTCAGTTGATTCTTGTGACGTTTTTTTGGGCCTCCCCCTCTTACGTCCAGTTCCTTGTTTTGGTTTATCCACTAGTTCTGTATCATTACTGGTGTCTTTTGTAATGTTCTGTGAGCTATCACCCTTAGATGACAATGCAGATGATAATGTTGATGTGTTTTCTTCATCACCTTTGTCTTCAAGTTGAAGTCTTGCAGGAGTTTTTCTATTTCTTTTTGGATAGCCTAGTTTGGAATAACAAATTTAACATATTATTCAAAAAATTATATTAGGAATTTCTAATAAAGATGCAAGTTCAGTCTAAAGTGCTTTTACCAGTTAAAAAATTCTTTTGTCATAAAAAGTCAAGCAATAGAAAAATATGTAAGTTTTAAATTATATGATCCTACTCTTAGGCTCTGGTGTCTGTTCACTTTTTGGGCTCTTGTCCGTTTTACTGGCACTTTTTGGTGGTCTCCCACGGCGTTTTGTGGTGACTGGGTTGGAAGATGCCAGCGGTGACAGAGCTTCCCCATCATCCACTGGAGGACATCTGTCAGAAATTTCTTCCGTTTCTTTTTTTGAAGTTCCTTCAGGTTTCTCCATATTTCATAAAATTAGTCATGCTGCAATTATAATTACAGTCCACAGGTGTACTTATTAGTAAAAAAAAAACAAAACCATTAAGTCATTATGTTTGATACATATTTAAATGACAGATAATAATTTGAATGAACAAAGTAATGATTTCAATTTGTAATGTAAATGAAAAACTGATTTTAAGACACTAATTATATCTTAATGAGCTTTTTCTGAGATTTGGTTGGCATATATTAGGGATGGGTATCGCCAAAGATTTCGTATCGCGATATATCACAATTTTTTCCCTCAATATCACAATAATATCATGATACTTTTAAAAGCAGTTTTTACAATGAATTTACACGAAAAGTCATGATTTTTCTAAAAAATATGCTAGAAAAGCAAAATTTTAATTTCTTGAAATTTTTATGTATACAAAATAAATTATGTTTGGGTGGAAATATGCCGTTCTTTTCACTTTTTACAACATTTCTTATACTTTCTGTAGATCTAATTGTAATTTGAAAGATTGAAAAAATAAATGAATAATTTCTGGACTTGATAATCATGATAATATGTACCTAAAGACCGGTATTTAGGTCTCCGTATCACGATACTTATCCCACTTCAGACAAATTTGTCGATAACTGATTGGATAAAAGTTAATCACATGACGCCCTGAAATTTTCCGTATTACGTCTCCGTCGAGGCGTAATATGAAAATCGGGCACGCGATTCCATTCGAAGCGTTGTTATTGTAAATATATTTACATTTGCAAATGTTTTCCTTTATATAACATTACTGAAAGCAAGCGTTTTTATAACTGTATAAATACAGGTATGGGGTCAAGAGGTCATAGATGTTTGTATGGATGACGTTCGACGTAATTTCTCTGTGACGTCATAAAGGGTCGACGTGCGGTCAGTGGATTACATACATGCCGTTGGGTTTGAAAAATAATGCATTTCACACATTAAAAGTCTCAATCAGGCAAGTTTAAAGTATGAATAAGTCACAAATGTAAATATAAGTAATAAGGTATCATTTTTTGAGTGTTATTGGGATGTAAAACGGGTTGGTCACGTGATCAAATCCCATAAAGCCCAAAGGGCTTTATGGAAGATTTGATCATGTGCCAACCCGTTTTACATCCCAATAACACTCAAAAAATGATACCTTATTTCTTAAAAAAATGGCGGTTAAGAAACAGTTTACGTAGGTAGTTTAGTTAAATTTCTTGTTACCGTAACTATATTTTATGTTGATTGTTATTGGATTAAAACTAAATATTTTCATAATATGCACAAATATTTTTTAATGCTGAAAAATGTCTTCAGTGGGATAAATTCGTAACACAGTCAGTTAGTCACCTAATACGGATTCATACAGGGTGTGAAATGGAAATACGTATTGGGATTCGGCTTCGCCTCGTCCAATACGGATTTCCATTTCACACTCTGTATGAATCCGTATTAGGTCACTAACTGACTGTGTAACTAATATTACCCCACCTCTGCTGATTTTTCCGTGAAATTCTGGCTTACGATTGGTTGAAGTCTGTCACGTGAAGGCGGTGGATTACTTATACCCGGTCAGTTGTAAATCCATACCCGGTCAGTAAATCTATACCCGGTCGATGTATTACGTCACTAACACAAACGTGACGTCATAATAGGCACTGTATAAGCGCGATGAAGCATTTAGCAGAGAAAACCATTTATAAACTACAGATAAAACGTAAATGTTTCATCGGTGGGGTAAATTCGTTACATAGTCATTTAGTGACAGGGTATGGGATGATACCTGGTTAGTAAATTTCATACCTGACTCGACTCCGCCTCGCCAGGTATGAAATTTACTAACCAGGACTGAGGTATCATCCCATACCCTGTCACTAAAAGACTATGTAACTAATAGCAAACGCAGCGAGCGTCGGGAAGCGACGCTCGTAACTGTGAGCTCTAACGACAACGCCTGGGCGAAGAGAAAATTCGGACTACTGCACATTCATTCTTTAGAATTTTTTGCTGCAGTAATTTTGACCCACAATGCATCACTTAGCAAAGTTGCGTTCTCGCGAGAATGACGGCAAATGTTCAACAAAAAGTTTACTCGCCTTGATTAAATGGATACATATTGAAGATAAATCGTAAACGTAACTTTTTTCGTTAACTTTCAGCACTGTTCAGTTTTTTCTTGGTATTTGTAACTTACATACGACGTCATGTGACGTCAGAGTCTAGACACACCAAATGTCACGTGCAGTTTGACGAGCCCGATCTAAATTAAAACAATAGAAGAGTTTGCGCTCGCTCTAACGGTCGCACCGTCAACATATTAGTATCACGCAACAAAAAATCGTGATATACCGGTATACCGATAAAATCGCACATCCCTAGAATATATACGTAAATAATAGTAAATACACCAAACATACTGATAGAGAGTACTTGATATTGCATTTAATTTACTTGGCAGAACTCAATAATGTGTGTGTGTGTGCGTGGAGGGGGGGGGGGGCGGGGTAATCCTGTCCACGAACACCTGTGATTTAGGCCTTATTTAACGTTATCTTTCGTCATTTTAATCGTTTAATGCAGAATTGAATGGAAGACCTATGGCTAACATTTAAAACATCACTGTTTATTAAAATGAAAACTGCTTACCCATGATCATGCTAAACAATCACTTCGCGCCGAGAAAATTCGAACAATGTGAGTAAAAGTGAAAATAATATAACCTGAAAACCCGAAATTTTCAAAATAACCACAAAAAATCGTTTTCTAGGAAAAAGACAAAATGATATACACATATCCGCTACTTTTTATAAAATAAGATTACTCAAAGATTTGAGAAAAGAGAAAAAATAAAATATCTTGGAAATGAAACTCGGAATTTTGTAATTTCTCCGGACCAATTACAGTGATTTAAGCAGTTCCGGATCGTAACGGGAAAAACACTCGGTAAATTATTTATGCAGGACCTGTGTTTGATTTCTACATTGTAATAAATAGTCCTTTATTTACTCTTTCAAGTCACATTAATATTTTGTTTAAAACGTTATACTTTATAATCGAAGTTTTCCAATTAAAATATGCTGGAGTTCAAGCACTTTAGATGATTTCAAGTAGTTCCGGTTTTCGCCACCTATCGTTGTTATTTATCGTTGTAACAACAGAGGTCGTCTCAAAATTCATTTTTAACGATCAGATCTTAAGTTAATAGGGACAATAATATTTTTCCCCACTTTTTTAAAGACTTGAGCTCGAAAATGGAATATCAATTATATCATATATAAAGAAGAAAAGATCATGTTTCAACAACTTTATTAACGATAAAATAAACTATCAAATATTTTAAAAAATTAAAAAAAAAAACATAAAAATCAGAAAATTGCATTGGAAAAAACTAGAAAAAATCATCAAAATAAAAAATATAATTAATCAAGGAATTGTTGTTCATTTCATAAAAAAAACGAGGAATAGGACATAAATGCCCAACATATAATTCACCAGTTCACTTAATTGTATTTGAATGCACATGAAACTTTATGCTTTATATAGTGTGTGAAGTTTGAAGAAAAGGTTAAACTTGAGTACATGTACTTTCAAAATAAATCATTTTTATACACAGTAGATGAGAAAGTTGAAGGCCATAGGGGAAGTCAGTTTAAAAAAAAAAATACACACAGTTGATAAATTCTTACCAAATTTAAAATTATGTATAAGTTACAAAAATATCTTGAATAGTTTTTTTGGTTTGAAAGTTAGCAAGCTGCAAATTTGAGAAAAGTGAGGTCAAGGTAAAAACAAATCTTTAAGCAGTTGAATACCTCTCACTATATGTGTCAGCAAATGAAGTTTGATAAAAATATCTTGAAAAATTTCTTTGAAACTGAGCTTAACACAAAGTGTCACAGATTGACAGAAGGACAGATGACGGACATGACAAACACTATACATGTTACGTTTAATATACATTATTAACCTCTGCAAAAAATTCTCCATTTTAATCCAGAATTGTCTAAAAAGAATTTGATAAAACTTTCGGCACACTGATGACCTATAAGAAGGCCTGCTACATACATTGTAATTAGCAGTAACCCTCTTTTGGTTTCATTGGTGGTTTCATAAAGTTCTTGCTTTCTTTTGATTTCGGACATTTTCTTCTTTTTTCTTCCCTTGACTACTTTAAGTTTCTTTGGACTCAGTGATATATTAGATATAGCAAGCATTGAAAAAAAATACACTCTACATTGTATAATATTTATGAGATTGTTCATTCTTTACAGTTTCTCGATTCAATTTTATTAATTTGTTTATATGTATTTTCTTCTAAGGATCTTTGAATTTGTAGTATCTTCTGTAAACAGCATGTGTGTGAGAGAGAGAGAGAGAGAGAGAGAGAGAGAGAAGCTATATGGGGGAGAGAGAAAGACACTTAAAGCCATGACTTTGAAATTAATAATACTTTCTCAGCCTTTTAAAATCAACATAATTTATGATAAAACTCTGAATGTAAAATAAATTCATGTTTCTGACTTTTTGTTTACGTATTTTCTCTTGTTTGTTTTACCAGCTCTTTTGAGACAACCCCATTTATGGTTCATTCGGAACTGCTTAAAATGGGATGTTGTGAATATTGCTCTTTATTTTGAATTTACGCCGTATTTTAACGAAACCGAAATTTCATGAGATAGAAGATACATCAATGTTTCATTCACATATCTTAAATGAAATACTTACCTTACCACAGTTTCAGAGCACGTCTTTACTTTCAAGAAAGCACGTGTTTAATGTCGGTCAACGTCACTTAAGCGCTTGCGGTTGTAAACAAAAAGCCTGGACACGGTAAGACAGACGGAGTTCTTGATCTCGCTATGTCATCCAGAGTATGGACAATACATAAAGCTTCATTTATGTAAAGAATCATTAGAAACAGAAACAATTATGTTTGCATAATTTTAATTATTTAATTAAAATTATTCGGAACTGCTTAAAATCCGGAACTGCTTAAAGCACTGTATTTTTATAGAGACCGCTTTAACGTTTCCTGTTTGATTCACGGTGGAAAGAAAGAAAGAATATTGGAAGAAAAAGTGAGTTGTGATGTTTTCATTTTTTATAATTGCTCGTAGTTGAGCGTGGCTGGGTGATTGTTGCATGAAGAGAGATCTTTTTTATAGCTTAGCCCTACTCAGCCAAAGATGAGATCACAAATTGGACTTTTCCTAAAAGTTGTCTCCCTTTCTCTGTGTAAATAGGGCATTGTAAATTGTAAGTCTGCATTTTTAAATGGCTAGTGGTGACACCCTGCTTCTCTTCTTTTTCACTTAGTTACTTGTTTAGGGAAGAGAATCTGAATTTTACCCAAGGCTGGCAAAATGTCTTTTATTTGCCAATAGAATTTAAAGAAGAATGATTTCTTAGCATGACTTATGCAGTGTTCATTGCTTTATGGGACATTAACTGGTGCTATAGTGAATAAGTTGTAAATTCCCAAGGGAGTGGTGAACATCCAAGTGAATACTATAACAGCCAATTTTGATAAGATTGCATTATGGTTTGTATTATGTGTTTTGCATAAACAAATGATAAAAATTCAATTTAAAAACAATGTTCGCTGTGATGAGAATTTTGTTTTTCAGTTTATCAGGTAATTTAATACAGAGTGGAATTCACTTTCTAAATTTTTAATTTTTATTCTACTTGTAAAATAATCATTGATGTAAATTTACAGATCAGACTGTGACAGTAAAATGGTTAGAAGAACAAAAGCCAATAGGAGGAAAAAATCTGCAAAGTCAAAGAAAGGAGATGAAACTTTGGTGCAAGCTAAGCAAACAGATAAGGATATTATAGTCCCTGGTTCTGAAGATAGAAAGGTAGAACAAGGAGAGAGCAATGCAACAATTACTAGTGAAACATGTGAAAACAAAGTAGAACCTGCTAGTGAAACATGTGAAAACAAAGTAGAACCTGCTAGTGAAACATGTGAAAACAAAGGAGAACCCGCTAGTGAAACATGTGAAAACAAAGTAAACTCTTCTGGTAAAAACAAAGTACAACCTGCTGATAAAAAGAAGAAGAGGAAGAAAATTAATAGTCCTGAATCAGATATAATTAAAAAGGAAAATGCAGGTCCTACAAAACCCTTTGTTTGTGAGCAATGTCCATCTGTTTTAAAGAATGCAAAATCTTACAGGGAGCACATGAGAAGGATTCACAAAGAGAAGAACCACAAGTGCAAGGATTGTGGAAAGCTCTTCCTATATGAATGTGTTCTAAGAGAACATTCTCTGATGCATACAGGAGAGACTCCCCATCAATGTCCTAAATGCCCAAAGAAGTTTCGCACCAAGAGCAATCTGACTAGACATTTAATTGTACATGGTATATGTAACGATTCACGAGCACTGTACAAAAGTCAATGTGATATCTGTGGCAAATTGGTCCGTTTTGCCTCCAATTTAGTGGCTCATAGAAAGTCTCATGGGGAGGAGAGGCCTTTCATGTGTGTGGAATGCGGAAAACAATTTAAAACTAAAGCACACCTAGATCTTCATATGGCTTATCATCTTGATTATAAACCGCATGCATGTGAGACATGTGGAAAGAGCTTCCATGACAAGTCAAATTACAAAAAACATCTACTGATTCACAAGGCAGACAAACATTTTAAATGTAACATTTGTGATTGGGCTTTTGTAAGAAAAGATCAATTAAAAATGCATCAGCGCACTCACACTAAACTTTCCTTCCAGTGTACAGAATGTGACAAGAAATTTAAGACAGAGGCATACTTCAAGACCCATTTATCACAGCATGCAATGGGAAACAATTTTGTGTGTTTTGTCTGTGACAAGGTTTACAGCAGCAAGTCTAATCTAAAAATGCATATGAAAAAGTGCCATGGATCTTCCATGTCAGTAAGCTCCACTGCTGAAAGGGAAGGGAAGTTAACCATTGTGAAGAAGGAGGTCATGGAACAAGGTAAAGGAAACCAAGGGATAACAGTTATTGTTGTGAATGGAATAAAGAATGAACTGTCTCTTCCAACAGATAGTGAAGTAGGCTCTGATGAACAGAAAATAGAAAACGCTGTGGAGGACAACTCTAAATCACAAGACCCTCTTCAACAAGGCCTTAGGAAGGAAAACAGGAATAGTCCCAGAAAAGATGAAATAATGCAAGAATCATTGCCAACTCATGAACGGAACTTGGGATATTATGCAGAAGCAGATGAATTATCCAATAAATCTGAGATTAATCTGGAAAACCAAGCCATTCTGGAAGATAACATTACAAAATTACAGGAGATGTCAGGAAAACAGGATATCACCAAATTAACACCCAGCATTGTAATGGTACAGAACAATGTGGAACCTAAAGGGGAAGCTGAAGATGCCAAGATTGCCTTCAAAACAACACTAGAAACAAAAGTGTTGGAAGCAGATACAAAAGAAATCCTTGAAGACAATGAAATGGAGACTTCCACACATGGGACTCAGATGGTTGATAGCGCAGTGAATCCCACTGACACTAGCTTGGTTGATAGTGAAATGCAGCCAACTTCTACCACTTTGGTTGATAGTGAAATGGAGCCTGTTGCTACCAGTTTGGTTGATAGTGAAATGGAGCCTGCTTCTACCAGCTTGGTTGATGGTAAAATGGAGCCTGCTGTGACATGTACTAGTTTGGTTGACAGTGAACTGCAGCCTACTGCTACAAGTATTGCAACTGGTGTGAAATGTATTCAGGTCTACATTGATGGTCAGTTATGCACCCTTACAGGAGTACAGTCAGATAATGGGCAAAATTCGTGTTCATAGGCTTCACAGATTTGAAACAGTAATGACAATGTCCCTTTTCAATCATTTTCTTTTTTGGAGGGGGGTGAATTTTAAATCATCTTTCTCTAAGTTGAAGAGTTACTAGCTCACCTGAGAAGGATTGCCATGTAAACTTTTTTTATTTTATCTTCTTAACCAGAAGCACTTGCTTTTTTGAATCAATTTCAGTGTTGGCAGTCAGGTGACTTTTTGCCATCTGTATTTTGTCTGTCGCCATGTGTTGTTTGTTGTGTGTTAATATTTGAAAATTTTCAGCTCCTTCTCTGAAACCACTGAAGCAATTTCAGCTAATTTTAGCATATGGCGTCCATGGGTGAAGGGAAACAAAATTTTTGAATTTAACAGTCCCTGTTCTCCTGGCCTGAACCTCTAAAATTAATGCAATCTTTAACAATCTTCTTCTTTACTCTTGGACATCAAGGCATGAATGTAATAAGGATTGAGATCTCTACCAAAATTGTGAAACTCATGGCCCAAGGGTCAGGGGTTCTAGTGTTAGGGCAGGATTATATAGATATATAGTGAAAATGCATCATTTATTTGAAAATCTTCTTCTCTGTTCCTGCGTATTAAATAAATTATCTAAGTACATAGTTATGAGAAGCAAGAGTGCCTCTTCCACAATTGTTAATTTTATGGCCCCTGAGTCAGGGGTTCTAGTGTTAGGGCAGGACTCTATTGATTATTTAGTGAAAATACACTAATTATTTGAGTTTTTGTTTTCTGCTCCTGGGTATTAAGCAGATGAACTATCTATATAGCTGTAGTGATTGAGGACCCTCCTTCAAGAATTGTGAATTTAAATGCCCCTGGGTCAGGGGTACAAAGAGGGGGTCTACTTCAATACTGAAAATGAATTGTTTGAAATCTGGTCCTTGGTATATGTGTGTTAATCAAACATTTTTGATAAGCAAGGGTGCCCTTTGACCTAGGGTCAGGAGTTCATGTATTGGAGGGCACTACTGATTATTGCTGAAAATTATAGCTGCAGATCTGTAGCTCTCCGAAAAAAATATTGATAGAACGGAGAGCTACAGTGCCACCCATTGAAAAAACTGTACATTTATTGTGCACAAAAAAGTGTGCTCGATTCTTGATTAATTCTTCCAAATTCTTACCTCAATTGCAAAAAATGGAAGATTTCAAAAATTTCCTCTCTCCTCTATCAAGTTCTCTCGTAGTTGACATTTGAACGAAGCATATTGGACCGAATTACCTTTGAAACCAAAATGGCAGTATAAATAAGCGAAATGTTCGATGATTGCAATATCAGGGCTAGGAGGACTATTAACAACAATTATGAGGAATGTTTTGTTGTGGAAAGAGTCAAAGAATATGTTAGGAACACAGAGTTAGTAATATTTTGAGATTACAGTTTTAAAACCATGGAGAAATAAATCGAGAACCGAGCACATTTTTTTGTGCGCAATAAATATACATTTTTTTCAATAGGTGGCTCTGTAGCTCTCCGGTCTATCAATATATATTTTTTCGGAGAGCTACAGATCTGCAGCTATGAAAATTACTGATTACTTGAAATGCATTTTTTGTTCCCCTACCCTGCCTATAGGTATTAAGTAACCAAGCTAAGCAATTGCTAAGTGTATATTTATGATGAGCAATGGTGCCTCTTTCAAAATTGTGAATTTCATGGCATTTATTAGTTTAAAACATGAACCAAATTCAATCATTGGAAAGTTGTTGTATGATGCTCAGGGCCTCTTGTTTTAATGAAGGTTCACTGTCTCTTCCATGTGAAGATAATGAAGAAAAAGTAAAAAAAAAATGTGTGAGTCATTAAAATTTTCAAGAACTACTATGCCTGAAAAAACAAAACTAATGTGAAAGCTTCGTGATAGTGTAGATTCAAGTTTATACAAAATTAATGATGATCCCATTCCAGTGGAGAAACTAAGGGTGATAAAGAACTTCAAAAATCTTCTCAAGAACAGCAATGCCATGATCATGTCGATCCAGATTTTTTTTTTCAAATCATGGTCCCTAAGGTTCCCTAATATGATATGGCCACTATGGCTTATCATAGATTTAAATGTCATCGAGTATGAATTGGAAAATTCTTTAAATTTTAAGATCTTCTGAAGAAGAATAGAAAGAAAGTGGCTAATCATATTTTAATATACACAGCATTTTCAGGTAGAGTAGATTCAAGTGTGTTTAAACCATGACCCCTGAGGACAGAATGGGGCCACAATGGTAATAAAATTTTATATGGAAATATGTAGGGAAAAGAATTTGCTAACAAACAAAAAGGGCCACAGTTACTCGGGTGAGCATCATGGCCTATAGGCCTCTTGTTAGACAAAAATACAAATGAAATATTTTATCATATTTATACCACATTGAATAGAAATGAGGATGTGTGTGTGTGTGTAAAAAAGAACATTGTAGTTTCATAGTACATGTATGTGTATCTAATCATTTTACTCTTAAGATAATTTTTTCAAGAAAGTCTGTCAAATGGCATGATCAGTACCAGTATAAAATGGATTTTTTGTGTTTGTTGAAAAGTAATTGGAATGGATTTTTTTTTCATCTATGAAAATCTACTCAAGATAAAAGTCAACCATTTAGGAAGCAGTTTAGTATTGTAACAGTTCTGTGTTTGTTTTGTTTTTTTAATTATAAATATTAACATAATGTTTATGCCTTTTATATTCATTTCAAAATCCATTGATTAAAAATGACGAATTTCAGTTTTAATGAGACAAGCAAAAATTATTTCTTATGTACCTTAAACAGAAAATCTGGAATGCCAATATTTTTAGTATGTAATTTGTAAGTTCACAAGAAGTCAATTTATATTGTGCTTTTTTAAAAATATATGCAAAGTAATGAATGTGTGAATATCTTTTTTTAGCTCACCTCAACGAAGTTGGGGGAGCTTATGTAATACCCTCGGCGTCGGCGTCGGTGTCGGCGTCCACGTCGGCATCGGCGTCCCAGGTTAAGGTTAAGTTTTTTGGAGCAGTTTTCTTTTTAAGTACTTCTATGTCCTATATTGATTAGACATGCATGGAAGATGGTTCTAGTGTGTTTCATTGTACCAGTCAAAGTTTCAGATGCTGCAATTTCAGCAAAGGAATGACCAGGTTAATGTTTTTGGAGCAGGTTAACATTTTTGGTGCAGTTTTTGGTGAAGGTTTCATTTCCAAGTAACTATAATCCCTATCTTGACCAAACTTGCATGGATGATACATCTAAGGATGCATACTACCGGGCTTGCTTCGGATGCTGAATCTGACCTACATTTTCCGGTTGAGTGAACAGGTTAAAGTTTTTGCTGCAGGTCTCATTGCCAAGTAACTATAAGCCCTATGTTGACCAAACTTGCATGGATGATACATCTAAGGATGCACACTACCGGGCTTGCTTCGGATGCTGAATCTGACCTACATTTTCCGGTTGAGTGAACAGGTTAAAGTTTTTTGTGCAGGTCTCATTGCCAAGTAACTATAAGCCCTATGTTGACCAAACTTGCATGGATGATACATCTAAGGATGGATACTACCGGGCTTGCTTCGGATGCTGAATCTGACCTACATTTTGCGGTTGAGTGAACAGGTAAAAGTTTTTGGTGCAGGTCTCATTTCCAAGGAACTATAAGCCCTATGTTGACCAAACTTGCATGGATGATACATCTAAGGATGCATACTACCGGGCTTGCTTCGGATGCTGAATCTGACCTACATTTTCCGGTTGAGTGAACAGGTTAAAGTTTTTGGTGTAGGTTTCATTTCCAAGTAACTATGAGACCTATGTTGACCAAACTTGCTTGGATGATACATCTAAGGATGCATACTACTGGGCTTGCTTCGGATGCTGAATCTGACCTACATTTTGCGGTTGAGTGAACAGGTTAAAGTTTTTGGTGCAGGTTTCATTTCCAAGTAACTATAAGCCATATGTTGACCAAACTTGCATGGATGATACATCTAAGGATGCAAACTACCAGGCTTGCTTTGGATGCTGAATCTGACCTACATTTTGCGGTTGAGTAAACAGGTTAAAGTTTTCATCAAGAGATAAAAATTCTCAAATTTGCTTCAGATGCTGGATTTTGATTACATTTTCATGAAGAAGAACTAGTTTAAATTGTTTATGTAGGTCTATTTCAAAGTATCAGATCAAAATTGCTTAAATATTTTCATTTTTGGAATGTACACTTTTTGTTGGTTAATTGTGTGACTTTGCCTTACTTAAAGACAACATTCGTTGAGGTGAGCTCTGTAATCTCTGATTACCTATGTTTAATCTTAGTACTAAATATTATGCAGAATAATATACATATGCTTGTATTATAAAAAAAAAATTATTCGAAAAAATAAAGGCGATAAAAATTTTGAATATCAAGATTTAGCTTAATCATGTTTATATAATTTACATGTATACTAGTATATCAAAATAAATGAAACATTTAAAATAATAATAAAATATTTTATTTGACAACCAACATCTTGGTGCAGGTGCTTCTATTTGTACTGTCCAGTGAAACAATGAAATGCTCTGCATGACATATTTTCATTATTATTTATACACATGTGAACACTATATAAAATTTTTAACTGACACGAAAAAATATACATCTCTGTATATAAATCCATTTTGAACAAACTTTCAAAGGAGAAAATGGCACGTTTCTTTTGTTATAACGCCCTGAAAAAAGAAAATACACAGTAATCAAATATAAAAAAAAAACAGCATCAAATAGGCCACACAAATAAACTATTAGCATTAAAATTATTTCCCCAAGAAAGAGTCCAAAAAAACTACATTCATTGTTAAAAATAAAAACACTTTTATTGCTAAACTGTGCACATGCTTAACTAAAATTTCTGTGCATTCTTTTACCTTTAAATTTCAGTGATCAATTAACATAAATCAAAATTAATAAATTAATTTAATATGAAAAACGGGAAGATATAAATATGAATGTTTCAAAGGCGCTTGATGTTTTTAACCTTTCTTTTCATAAATAAAAATTCCCTGAACCGCATGCATATAGTATGGGGAATTTTTTATTCTTGTAAAGAAAGGTTAAAAACGTCATGCGCGTGTGGAATGTAATATTCAAAAACAAATGCAGAAAATAGCTGAAATAATTGATAAAGAATGTCTGATTGCTGACAAATTTACGTCACCTGTCATTTTCCCATGTGCACATTTTATAATACAGCCATAAAAGAATCGATCTCCTGTGGTCTATATGTAGACCAACATTCTTGCATTTATTTTGTCATAATATAGTTATATTTGTCTGAAAAGACGTCATATTGAGACATTTTGTAACATTAAAATATAATTATACATGTACATTTGGATATAGCGGACAGCTAGTATTCAAGCTCAAAGTCTGTTTAAACAAAACAAATCGGGAGCAGAGTCAAAAGCATCATATTTTTGATCAGGTGCCATATGGAGGAAAAACATCCGCAGTTGATAGGCCACATCCGCTGTGTGCCCCTTGTCATGATCGGGCGTAAATAATACCCTAACAATTAATATATGAAAAACACCAGTCAGCATTAGACCTAATGGTAGACTGTATTTGCTTATCGAATAGTGGAACGTGCGAGAATATGATTACAAAATTTAATAAGACTGTTGAACTCCTTGTTTTATCAACTTGTTGATCAGTACCTTGCCTCATTTGAAAATTGAGCGTACGTGCTTGAGCATGCTTTTGCTTACTGAATCAAGAGGGAGAAATTATAACCCCCTGATATGGGTACATATTGCTTTGTAAGAAATGGAAGTTGTCAATGAAAAAGTTGATCATCACGTTACGGTTAATCATAAAGTTTCTTTGTAAGTTTTTATCTTGTATAATATCAAAATATAAAAATATGTCAGACTCTGTGGTGTCAAGATATGAATGGAAGTAACTATAAAGTTGAAAACAAAGAAATATAAAAAAAAATTACACTCTGATCTAAAAATATTTGCTACTTCTGCCTCCTTTCCATGTCCATTTTCATCTCCAAGCAGGATAGACAGCAATGGCGACCCCAATGGGAACAGAAGAGTTCAGCCTCAGTGACGTCATACAGTCGTCTGTAGAACGAACAGTTATCATCACCGATCTGTTTATCTAAGCAGGCATAGTTACCTAAAGAAATGATGAAAAAATTGAGTTAGTTAAGAAATTTAAAGTTTAATATGATGTACTTGTAGGCCCTACATCTAAGCTAAAAAAAAAAAAAATCAGTTGTTCGTGTCTTAGGGATGTTCTTTCATCACTCGAAAAACTTCATGAAAACGTCGCAAAGTTAGAAAATATTTACATCCACTGAATTTTCTCTTGAGCAAAGGCTGTTCCATGAATGACGTACTAGGATGTATCAATAATACAATTATTAATTTATTAATTAATACTTTTAAATGAATATTTATGTAGATATAGATTTAAATAATAAAACGTTTGGGGTTTTTTTTGTTTTGTTTTGTTTTGTTTTTTTGGTTATTAGTACGAAAATTAACGTCGCAGCTATTGCAGAAAAAATTACATAACCCGCTAATTCTATATTTAGATAAACGCTAGTTTTGATATCTTGAAAAATAATTCTGATATTAACTTAAGGTATTCTTTAGTGGAACAAAATTTACTTTTTATTAAGAGTTTTGAAACAAGGCACTCTCAAAAGGCATCCTTAAACTATTATTAATGCATTCAATGTATATAGAAGTTCAGTTAAGAAAGCGCGACAAATTTTATTCAGACAACGAAAGAAATAAACAGTACGTATTGGAAATCTTGCAAATAATTGTACAAATTCTTTAAACGATTCCTCACAGCTAGTGGATGCTTTCTTTTATCACAATTATTATTACAAATGAATTCAGATTCTTCTAAAAAAGGAGTAATGCATTCACGAAAAAACCCATACTTTTTTTTATTTACAGATTGTATCAAACTGTCAATTACATAGTATATATATATAGCAAAAAACAAATCTACACAATATTACCTAACTGAGGAAATGACACTGCCACGTGTACCTCCAAACAGACTAGGCACGCCCACACAACAGAGTATATCTTCATTGCTGGTACAGTTGTAAGCAACAGTCTTCTCTCTCCTATTTCTGAAGGGTGGGGGTTAATCGGTCCAAGTTCTCTATAAGACAACACTAACTGTCAATGACCCACATTCCATGAATTTCTTTTCACTTGTTATTTTTGAATTTTTATGCAAATCTTGTAACATGATTAATCAGTTCGTCTGTTTGAGTTTCCTTAGGAGTGGATAATCATGTAGATTATTACAGAATTTGGAGGGAAAATGGCTCGTTTTAATTTGTGTCTGTGCGTAAATCTTGTTTTGCGGAATTCTTCTGCATGTTTACGCAATAACTATCGTCATTTCAGGTTTATACATTTGAGGTTTTTCTAAACTGTTACTTTATTGAGAAAAAACAGGTATGGTGTTCCCATTTGGCCACCTAACTTTAAGGTACATGTAGATATGAACAAAGTACATGTATATAAATGTTTCACATGCTTTTCAAAATACATTATGAGAGAAAAAAATATCCTAAACCTCTTTCGGATTTATCCACTTTTTGCCTTTTCTTTCCCGCATAAGCTTACACTTGAGTATAACAGAAATTTTGAAGAGGCGTTTAAGGTGATAAAAATATCACACCATTATACATTTATTGACTGAGGTCGAGGGCAACATGGGTTTTGTCGGACCCAAGAACCAAACTGTCTGCCTGAGGCCGTTAGGCCGAAGGCAGACAGTTTGGTTGAAGGGTCGACAAAATGCATTTTGCCCGAGAACTCAGTCAATTTATGTTTTGTTATTTTTGTTAAACCTTTCATCTCATTTTATTTTTTGCCATACATGTATTTTGTACGGTCTTCCGTGATGAAACATATCAGGTCAGTCACTGTTGAACACCAACGAATGAAAATGAGATTAAGCTCCGCCCATTCTGTGACGTAAGCGGTCCAACATCTCATTCAGCGGTCTAACATCGATTTTTATATGCCCGCTCACCAAAACATTAGAAATGTTAGACTTTTTTTTGTATAGAATTGTATAGGAACAAATTTTTAAAGGTATAACAATGTCTTCTATTCTTTCTATCAAAGCACCACAAAAAAGATTTTAAGAAAAATATTTTTCAATTCAACAATGATATATTTCAATGATAAAAGGACGAACAGATATTATTTATTTCTCAAACGAGACCGGCGAATGACAAATGAGTTAACGATACAAGGATATTAATATTCCATTTAAAGGCAATATTTCTCATATTTTACTGTCGATACAATCTCCTTGTGTATCTTACATCGAATGGTGAATGAATGTTGACTGATATTTCACACAAACTGGTAGGCCATTATATTCTCAGAGTGACTAGGGGCATGTAGCGGTTGTGTTCGAAACCTTCATGAAACCTGATCCTATTACTATTTTATAAGTCTGTGGTAGCTCTGCTCAATGACACTCAAGTTGGAGCATGATTACTATCGTTATCTTTATACTTCACAGTTTGACCAGCATATAAATCTTATTTTAAAAAAATGAAAATTTCAGATGCTCTTCAAAGCAATGCGTACTTTCATTTTGAAAAGAGCCGTGCATGAAAAAATCTTCTTAGGAACAACAAATTCAATTGGAGTTGTATCATATTTATTTACCAATGACAAAATAATTACATGCTCAATATCCAACTACCTACTCTATACAATGAAATAATTCCAAAAGGTAGTATCCATATATTTTCTAAATACTTTCATTATCAAAGATTACACATCTATCTATCAATAGCATAATCAGTATTACAACCATCAACGGACATATGCACGTGAAACAAATACATGTACACAATTATACAAAATTAAATACATAACATAATTTATCCAAGGTTAGTGTAGGCACAAGTGAGGCGAAACCTCTCGGAATGAATATAAATATAAAACGTATAAAAAATTGAGGTAGTTATTTTCATAAACAATATTTCTTCAGTTTTTTAGTCTCCCACGTGGCGCAGTGGTTAGAGCGTCTGTTCTAGTGTTGTAAGGTAAGGGGTTGATTTTTACGTCGCGGGTTCAAATCTCACTGTGGGACGTGCTTCGGATGAGACCGTATAAACCGAGGCCCCGTGTCGAAGTAGGGGCTGGCACGAAAGAGATCCCTCCTTGCTCAATGGCCCTGAGTACCGGGTAATAGCTTCATTTTAGTTGTAAAACGTCATTTTATTGGGTGAAAGATTAAATTCATTTTGTAAGTTAACATAACTTGCCTACATGTACGTCACAATGAGTTACTTCAAAAACGTACTACTCCGCTTGACGTTACTTTTAAAATGCCCCAGGTTATCTTATATCGTATAACAAAAGTTGAAATAAGCTTCATTCCTTTTTAGCACAAAATTTGCAGCTCTCTATCGGCAAGTGGTGGCGTCTTCATATGAGTGTAAAATTCTCGAGAGGGACGTTAAACAATATACAATCAATCAATCTGCGGTTTTTGATTGGCAAATTAGAAAGAGGGGGTTGGGTTGAGTCGTTCATTTGGTCATTTTTATACATTGTTTTAATAAGGCACGGGAGAAAATCACATCTTTATACTGATCGACACCACATTGTCTCCAGTATTTTCTAGATCCCCAGTGGTGTCGTTTGCTTTGGTCTCGTTGTCGGAACCCTTTTCAGAGGAGGCCTTTTCCGATTCTGTCGGCTGCTTATCGGGAGCAGACGTTCCTAGCTCTTTATCTTCCTTGGAACCTTCTTCTACTTGTTTAAGCGGAAGGTTGTTCTTTTCATCAAGTTTGATCTTGGCTTCATCATCGTTCGATTTTTCTTCGTCATTTTCAGATTCGCTATGCATCATGGGGCCGATAATTGACAAGAAAAGAGGTAAAACCCATAGAGCGTGAAACAGACCGAAAATCATCACTATTAGCATAAGCTTAAAGAAAGACAAGAAAATGTAACTTTTGGAAAATATCAACATGAGAATTCCCAAGATGGACGATAAAGCAGAATTGAATATTGGACCCCCAGACCGAGACAGTGCCTGATGGACCTTTTCTTTCCTTGTTTTACCCGAAACAGACATGTAGGCATGGCAGATGTGGGCGGTGAAATCGACCGAAAATCCAACAGTCATAATAAGATCAATCATTGTAATAGAACTCAAGGTCAGGTCTAAGAAGTGCATGAAACCCACGATACCCAACAGGATGATTACCAAGGTTACGGTTACCATGACAACAAGGAATATATTTGGCATAAATATGGTTGTTACAACCATCATGACCGCAACAGCGATGCCCAGAGTCTGCATGGTGGCTGGAAATATCTGTACATACTGTTCATAAAAAATAAACCCAGGGGTGTACGCAAACACTGAGAATTGACATTCGGATGCCAGTTTTCTTACATTTTGCATCAAGTTTCCGCTGTCTGTGGTACTCAGCATAGGTTCCGACATAACGTAAAATCGGGAAGCAATAATAGAGGTTTCCGAACTATCAAATGCTACATCGTTAGCGAGGTCTGGGCGATACTGCATAAACTGTTTAAGACCATTAATAAAGCTTGATTTGGAGGAATTATTAAACTGAGAAGACTGAGAGTAGGCATCTAACCAGAATCTATCAAAGCGAGGAGAAATGTAAGCATTGTCCTTTACCTTTTTAATATAAGAAGCTATTTCGTTTTGGACTTCCTGTGTATGATAATTCAGTGTTTTGTCAAAATTGAACGAAACTGGTATCACTTCGTCAAAATACTGCTTGTTCCAAACATTATACTTGTACAAGTAGGACTTTTCTGAAACGAGATTTTGTAGTTCAAGACCTTGCTGAAGATTCAAACTTCCATAAATGGAGAACCCTAAATACGTCAGAAACACTAACGAAATGAAAATCTTTCCAACAAAATTACCCACTAAGAATTGACAAAACTTGGTCGGGTATTTCTGAATGAAGTTGCTGTAATCTTCCGGAGTGTTAGCGGGTCTCCCAGCACAACAGCACTGGAACAGGGTGGATCGCCCTTCTTCTTTCAGTTCTTCTTTGGATTTCGTTTTCAAACAAGTGAAGGCGTGTCGTGAATTTTCAGCTCGTCGTTCGTTAATAACCATACAAGGCACGAACAAAGTCAGCTGATTCATGTAACAGAAACACACGGCGACTCCTAAAATAAAGCAGGAAAACAAGAAATGAAACAGGTTTGATGAAGTCTTGAAATATAACGACGGAAAATCATCGAATGAAAATATAGACGGTGTACCTTGAATAGGGTTTGTAATTCATGTTATACGTAGTATATGAGGTTTGCATAATTATATAGATTTATACTAGGAAAATGAAACAGGAGATTGCATTATAGAAATACAATGATTTGGTAACATAAGGAGTGCAGTAACCACTTTAAATATAATCTTATTTTAACTTAAATACATGAACATGTGATTCACTAGATAATTCATAACACTGACAGCACTATATGGTTATTTTATATACATTGCATCTAATACATTTTACCTGTATATATTGAAAAATTCCTTATGCTAATAAAAATTGAGCTGGATCCTATGCCAAAGGCTAGAAAATCTGTCAAAGACGTGATAGAAATTGAGACACCGCTGGTTGCCATGGCAAAGGAGATCCGTTGCTGGATGGTTGTAGGTGTTCCGTCACTTCCGGTGAGTGGTGCATCTGCCAGACCCGAGAGCAAAATAAAGACGTCGTCTAACCCGATACCTAAATAGGTAATACATTGTAATGAATAAGGAGAATTATTACGAAAGATAGAGAGAGAACAAGACATAATGTGTAGCATACTCCTGTTTGTAGTACAACATATACATTTTTGTTGTTTTATATAATACATGTTCTTGGTACGTGTAAAACATCAAGAGAAAAGCATACAAAGTCACAGTATTAAAGAATTTCTTAACATCTTTTGACCATAGACACGTTTTAAAACATTCTTCAGATAACGTATCAACTAAAGTTTCATGTAATGAAATCGTTCCCTATATAGTAAAAGTATTTTAATTTAGAGCATTTTAATTTAAGGTAATTGGCGTGTATTCTTTGAAGAGATTTTGGCAGAATTTATCATCTGCTTAATATTTAACGCATTCATAAATGAGTTGCAGCAAATTCAAATTTTGCCAAATATCGTACATGCTAAATTTTGATACTGTATGTTTTACGTACCTAATATAAGGAACGGCATGACACCCACTAGGGAAACATACTCCACTCCAATGGCTGCTGTCAGTCCAAAAGAACCCAGGATTGCCAGTACTGTAGCCAGAACACCTGCTCGACCCAAATTCGAGCGGTCTGCAATGCAGTTGATCCGTGTGCCAGTTGTTGCAAATGAAGCATAGGTTAACATAATTGTAAAGGTGAGTGATATCCAAAGGATATCTCCCGACACGTTACTGTCGAGTTCGATATCCAGTGACTGGGACGTTGATATCGCGATATCCAGAATTGATGATTCATAGGTTTTCATTTTTGAAATAAATTCTCTTTCCCATAGTTTAGCTGTTTCGTTGTTAAGGAGAAGGGAATACTGCAAACGGATCAAGCCGGCAGATATCAAAGTTCTGTTCACATGGCGTGCTTCGCCCAGGCTCCGGGAAATGTCTCTTCTCTCATACACTGGGAAAGAAACCCGTCCTTTGTTGAATGCAGTCAAAAATATATCAGTGATAATTTGTTCACCTGATACCAAGCAAGATCCTCTTCTTTTGGCACACACGTCAATCAGAGTTACATTTGACAAGATAGAAATAGAATTTTGTATAAAGTTATCAATATCTTTTATTTCGTCAATATACTTTTTTTGAAGGATATTTTCGCCTAACTTGGTTCGAAAAAGGATTTCTGTTGGAAAATTAACTTCAATTTGTGCCAGAGGATCGAAATTTTCCCTATAATTCATCTCAAATAAACTTCTAGCCTTGTCACGGTCAATGATGGCTTGACTGTTTAAGGGTGTATACAACACTTCTGTGCTGCCCTCACTCTGTAAACGTAACAAACCGACTCCAAGAAGCAGATTCGCTGATATAGAGCAGATTAGAACTGGCCAGGGATATTTGGAAACGAAGGCCCCGTATTTGGCAAAGAGTTTGCTCACAGCCTCTTCATACCTCGCGTAACATCCCATGTTTGTATTTCTGAAATAAATCCGATATTAAATAAAGAATATTGCAAATAAAGAGAGGATATCAAAAAACTGAAATGTTCAAATCATCTAATCTTGCTAGTTTTTAAAGAACTCAACCTTGCGACGTATTAGCAAAATTCTGAATTTACGGTAATCATATAGTTCATTGCTTTCATAAATCAGGAAAAAATACAAACATACTCAGATTTCACGCTACTGTTAAGATATCATCATCCCTTATTCTTTTTTTCATAACAAGGTATTTTGATTTAAGCTGTGTAGATAGCGATCGAGTGACAACGGGCAGCCGAGGTGAAGGGGTGTGTAGAGAATAGCTAATTGGCGAGTTCACCTTGAGTGACTGTAATCTTTCTTTGTTCGGGGTATTGAAGGAAATGTTTATTATCTGTCATTATTCGCTTGTTTTTTGTCCGGTCAGTAACTTGTTCTTTAAGGTGAATACAATTTTGAAAATTATCCGCTAATTATTTTCATGAAAAGATAATTAAATAGTTAAAAATGTTTATTCAAATTTGAAACAACATTAAAAAGAATTCAGTGCACCCTGGCAAACTGATAAAAACTTTTTTTCCGAAAAAGTAAAAGAATACATCTATTAGTTACAATAGAAAAAAAACCTTCGACATTTCAAAGAGTACAGAACGTGTCTATTTTGTAGACTTCCTTACTCTTAACTTCATATTACACTTTCATATTGGTGAAAGTTTTGTATACCGAAACTGATGACAATATCTAAAGATAGAGTGCATGTAAAAATTTCAATCATATACACATATTAGTTGTTGGGTATATGGAAAAACCAAATGTAATTATAAACAATTATAAACACATTCTCCATCATCATCATCATCATCATCATCATCAACAACAACAACAACAATATTATCGATAAATAGTTTATATGAACTCATTTTGAAAGCTATCCGAGACGTTTTCCAGTTTGTGATGTTTTAATTAAGTAAAATTAATTTGTATAATTTATACAAATTAAGAACATACAATGCATTAGAAACGTGTTCGATATAAGACACTGCTATCATAATAGACTTACCCTAACAGGGAAGAATCCTGCAAATCAATAAACAGTACCTTTGTTGGCTTTATAAGATACGATCTTACAAACATGGATGACAAGCAGATTTTTAATAAAAACTCGTCAAAAACTAATCCGTGTAATTAGCGGTAACTGAAACCGAGAGTATACTAAACCTGTCGAAGCTCGGGTAAATGGCCTGAGTTTAGGGATACACGGAGGGTAATTTCCTTCAGATTTCTATGATGTACGCCATGATATATACAATAGAAAAAACAATTTAATATAACATATAAAAATGTTTGTCTGATTCCAGAAATCGATGACACCCGGGTATAATTATACAGGGATGTACAATACGTTGTCAGATTACGGTAAATGAACAGATATGAACTTGAAATATAAAAAAATTACACTACTACAATATCAGAATTGATATTAAAGTTCTTTTGGACAATAAACCCACTCCTATTTGTTTTACTCTAGCTATATCAGCCATTTGTAATAAGAACTGTCATTTTTCTAGTTTATTGGTACATGTTTTATCTCTATGGTTCTTACTTAACAACTTTCTTGTTGAAACCAAAGCTACATTTTACAGCACTGACATTCATGTAGATGCGTGAAATGAATATATTGCATATATACAAATTGTGTTTACAGCATTAAATTTTCTAATATTGATAAAGAGAAGTTTCGATTTTTCATTTATATGTCATTAGCGAACACCATTTACATAATAAGCCTAATTTTTAAAAGAAAACTAAAGTTAAATTTGGTAATATTTTTACATATAATAATTGGGAATATACAGTTTTTTCTTCCATTTTGATCTTTCAACTAGTAACAATCTTTAATAGTGTGAAACTCACCATGCAGTCGCCACCTATATTGTTTTTTAAACAAAAGATCTTACAATACCTTCCCATCTCCCAGTTTCAATTTATATTTTAGTTCTGAATATGGTTTAATGTGTTCCTTAATATAGTCGATTAAGGTACAATCTGCACAAAATCGATATCCAAAATTTAAATTCGTAAATGGATTACAGTCATGACACTCCTTTTGAAGAATTGTTTCAATGGAAAGAGTGAAGATTAAAAGAGTGAAGAATAATGCCATACTTTGGTACAATACCACTATTTCTATGCCTAGTTTTGCTTTTAAAATATACAAAACCCCCAGAGCTTCCTGGGGCTTTGCCCCCTGGGCCCCCCTCATTTAAAGTATGGTATAACTATATAGTATTAATGGTGTCATACTCTGGTACATAACTAACCAATGAATACTAGTACCACTATTATTGTGCCTGGTTATACTCTTAAAATACACGAAAACCCAGGAGCTTCCGGGGGCTTCGCCCCCTTGGCCCCCATCAGGACTTCGCCCTGGACCCTGGCCTGAATGAAGTTATGCCCCCCAATCACAAATCCTGTATCCGCCCATGCATTAATGGAATGTATGAAATTACGAGAAAAACCCTTTCCTTAGAGAAAAAAATAATCTCGGAAAAAATTATTCTTTTATTAAAATGTAAGATGGTATTCGTGGGATTCGAACCCGAGCAATAAAAATCCGGAGTATCATCTTGTTTCGAGACTAACGCGCTATCTATTAATCTACATGTATGCCAAATTCATAAAAATGAGCTAAACATAGTTTCACAGTCGATAAACTAGGTTTATCGGTGGTAAACTATAGTTTACGGACTGTAAACTATAGTTAACAATGTTAATCTATATTTTACATCTGTAAACCATAGTTAACGCGATAATCTATGTTTCAGATCCGTAAACTATATTAAAACAATCATCTGCGATTGCAAAACATAGATTATCTGATAAATACAGTTTCACAATTTGTAAACAATACAAAAATGAGATAAACATAGTTTCACAGTCGATAAACTAGGTTTATCGGTTGTAAACTATAGTTTACGGACTGTAAACTATAGTTAACAACGTTAATCTATATTTTACATCCGTAAACCATAGTTAACGCGATAATCTATGTTTCACAACCGTAAACTATACTTAAAACTGAAAACAATCATTTGCGATTGCAAAACATAGATTATCTGATAAATACAGTTTCACGATTTGTAAACTATAGTTTACAAACTGTTAACTATAGTTAACGATCTGATAAATATAGTTTCACGATTTGTGAAAGTATGATTAACAACTCTTAGCTATAGTTTACGATTGTAAACTATAGTTTACAAACGTGAATCTATGTTTATCAACAAAATCTATTGTTAACGCTTATTACAGACAGATAAACTTAGATTATCATTCGTAAACTATAGTTAACAACCGTTAAATATAGTTTTACAGATGAAAACTATACTTAACGAATCGTTAACTATACTTAACGAATCGTTAACTATAGTTTACGGTTTGTAAACTACAGTTTACAGTCGATAAACCTGGTTTATCAATTGTGAAACTAGGTATCTCATTTTTGTGAATTTGGCGTGTCATAGATAAAATATAGTTTCACGATTTGTGAAACTATGATTAACAACTCTTAACTATAGTTCACGATTGTAAATTATAGTTTACAGACCTGAATCTATGTTTATCTACAAAATCTATTGTTAACGTTTTATTACAGACAGATAAACTTAGATTAGCAATCCTAAAATATAGTTAACAACCGTTAAATATAGTGTATAGTTATACAGATGAAAACTATAGGTTACGAATTGTTAACTATAGCTCACGGTTTGTAAACTATAGTTTTCAATCGATAAACCTAGTTTTATCAACTGTGTAACTATGTTTAGCTCAGTTTTGTGAATTTGGCGTGCCATATACACTGTACATGGCTGATGTTAAAATGGGACATTTAAATCATGTTTTTTATATGACTTTTGACTTAATGGACTTAAAGTATTTCTTTGAAAGATGCAAATGTCTTGTCATAAAAGTTGTACTTTTCAAGTATAGTGGGTCTTTGCTCCATGTTTTTGAAACAAAAAATGTACATTTTATTGCAAACTTTTAGGATTATCTTTCAAACCAGAAGTCTCTGTCGAGACTGTAGCTCTACTGGTTTGTACTTATAACAAAGGATAAGAAAAGAAGCCATTGCAATCAGACCAAAACTGTAGAAGGAGTGATGTTTTAAAGGAATTTCACGGACATTTCTATTTTTAGTACTAATGGCAACATCATTCATCAAAATCAAAAACCGATGCACTATTTAATGTATCTTAGTGTAGTCTAGTTGTGTGCCACGTTAAATTGAAATCAGACCAAAACTGTAGAAGGAGTGGTGTTTTAAAGGAATTTCACAGAAAATTCCATTTTTAGTAACCACGGCAACACCATTCATCGAAATCAAATACCGATGCACAGAATTATGTGTCTTAGTGTAGTCTACTTGTGTGCCAAGTTACATTGAAATCGGACCAAAACTGTAGGAGGAGTAGCATTTTGAAAAATTGTTTACAGACAGAAAGACAGACAGACGGACGGACGACAGACACCTTACTATTGCATAAGCTCTTCTGGTCTCTGACCAGTAGAGCTAAAAACCGATGCACAGAATTATGTAATATCTTAGTATAGTCTACTTGTGTGCCAAATTATATTGTAATCGGACCAAAACTGTAGGAGGAGTAGCATTTTAAAAGAATTTCTCAGAAATTTCTATTTTTAGTAACCATGGCAACACCGTTCATCGAAAGCGAAAACCAATGCACAAAATTATGTATCTTAGTGTAGTCTACTTGTGTGCCAAGTTATATTGAAATTAGACCAAAACTGTAGGAGGAGTAGCATTTAGAAAGAATTTAACAGAAATTTCTATTTTTAGTAACCATGGCAACACCGTTAATCGAAATCAAAAACCCATGCACAGAATTATGTATCTTAGTGTAGTCTACTTGTGTGCCAAGTAATATTGAAATTGGACCAAAACTGTGGGAGGAGTAGCATTT